TGGCGTGGTGAAGTTGTTCATGACCAACAGAGGCGGTGTCTTATGGTCTTGTCCGCCACTTTTTGGGCGCTTCATGGATCTCTCAACGTCCTTGCACAGCGAATAGTTCTCGACTTTGAAGTGAAGAGTGGGTCCACGGGGAGTAACAGCGAGTCGCATATTTGTGTTGCCAGTTGCAGATTTAGAGAACAACATAAGATGAGTGACGCCTAGGGGACCCGTCATAACGGTATAATCTCGCAGTCTGTTGGATTTGCGTTCCTATTTTGTTTATTAGAGGGAACAAGCAGAATAGTGATTGTGAATCACACCTTCAATCGCACAGCAGTATCGGGCTCCATCATACGACGGACGTCCTTAACCAACTGGGTCACACTGCTACCAACTTGAGAAGCGCCTACTCGAATGACCATAGACTTTGGGGTTTTCGACATTGAGGCAGCGCTGCCCTTCACAACGGAAGCATTTTGCGGCTTCTGATGAGTGCGCTTCTTGACACGTTGCTTGGCCATTTTGATGTAAAAGACGAGAAAAACAAGACTGGTGGGGAAAGCAATGTATCTTAGATCGAATACCTCGAGGTTTTTTTTTTCTCCAAAAATTAGCTTTAGAAACAGCGCCGGATCAACAATATTGCGGCCCCACATTAAATTATTTCTTTTGAGAGTAGTTCAACGTCGACAACTTTGTTTTTATTAAACAGAGACCAAACAATGCCGATTGCCAAAAAGCGCAAGGTCGCACACGCGGCACCTGCTGCACCTGTTGAAGAAAGCGACGTTGAATCAAATGCAAGCTCTTCAAGCCCCCAACCTACCGCTAAGGATGCCGATGTCGAAGATGGCGCGAGCGATTCAAACACCCAACCCACCGCCGATGACCCCAATGTTGATGGCGCTTCCTCCGAGACTGAACCCAGCGCTCCCAAAACATTCAAAGAACTGGGTCTGATCGACTCGCTCTGTGAGGCCTGTGACAAAATGGGATACAAGGCTCCTACACCAATCCAGTCCGAATCAATCCCGCTGGCACTTCAGGGTCGTGATATTATTGGATTGGCTGAAACAGGATCTGGAAAGACAGCCTCATTTGTACTACCGATTCTTCAAGGTTTGTGTTCATTTGACGACAGATGCCTTATACGATACTAACGAGTCCTCTAGCACTCATGGAAAAACCCCAGCCTTTCTTTGGCCTCGTAATGGCCCCAACCCGTGAACTGGCATACCAGATTTCACTAGCGTGTGAGTCTCTTGGTGCAACAATTAACGTCAGATCCACCACATTGGTCGGCGGCATGGACATGGTTCCTCAGTCAATCGCTTTGGGAAAGAAACCTCACATTATCGTTGCCACCCCCGGTAGACTTCTCGACCACCTCGAGAACACGAAGGGCTTCTCCCTCCGCAACTTGAAATTCCTCGTCATGGATGAAGCAGACAGACTCCTCGATATGGATTTCGGCCCTATTCTCGATAAGATCCTGAAGGTCCTGCCGCGCGAGCGCAGAACCTTCTTATTCTCCGCCACTCTGAGCTCAAAGGTAGAATCTCTCCAGCGAGCCTCGCTTTCAAATCCGGCCCGCGTCTCGATCTCTTCCAGCAAGTACGCCACCGTGGAAACCCTCCAGCAAACCTATATCCTTCGTCCTTATAAACACAAGGACATCTACCTTGTTTACCTCCTCCACGAATTCATCGGCCAGTCTGTTATTATCTTTATGCGCACCGTTCATGAGACGCAGCGTGTTGCTTTCCTGCTGCGCGGTCTAGGCTTTGGCGCAATCCCTCTCCATGGGCAGATGTCTCAATCCGCTCGCCTGGGAGCATTGGGAAAATTCCGATCGAAGAGTCGTGAAATCCTGGTCGCCACTGATGTTGCCGCTCGTGGTTTGGACATACCGTCTGTGGACTGCGTTTTGAATTTTGACTTGCCAACCGACAGTAAGACCTATATCCATCGGGTAGGTCGTACAGCACGTGCCGGAAAGTCTGGAACTGCCATCTCTTTTGTCACACAATATGATGTAGAAATTTGGCAGCGCATAGAGGCTGCAATGGGCAAAGAGTTGGCCGAGTTTCCCGCACCAAAAGATGAGGCTATGGTGTTTGCCGAGCAAGTGAGTGCCTCGCAGCGTGACGCCATCCAGGCGATGAAGCACTACGACGAGAAAAAGGGGGCCAAAGGTAAAGGAAAGTTCTCATTCAAGGGTAAGCGAAGTCGCGATGCCATGGACCAGGAAGAGGGCTAGAATTTCATGTTCTTTCATTTGCTTCTTTTTGTACATGAACAGGCGGTCTAGCTTACGAATTTGGGGCGTTTAAGTATATAATATGAAAATAACCCATAGCTTTCATTACTGCGTCAAAATGATATCGAATATTTCCTGGACCATATTTCCGGGGGTCCATAATAGTTTTAAAAATCCGCTGCCTAAAGCCACAAAGGCAGGTATGATAATTGCAATACAGCCTAGAGAAACAGTGACCCCTAGGGCATCTGTCAAGGCCAAAGAACCATTTCGGACAAGAGAATCCCTTAGGCACTGCCTGCCTCGCTAACGGCGTTGGCGACGCGAGTGGCGAGGTCGTCCGCCTCGGAGCGGCTGGCAGCCTCAGCGTACACACGGACGGCATCCTCGGTACCACTGGCACGGGCGAAACTGCGGCCCTTGTTGTACCGAGACTGAAGAGATTCGATGGTGCCCTGCAGACCGGCAGGAGACTCAAGCTTACGCTCGGCGTCGTATGCCTTAAAAATGGAACGGTCATTGACCTCGACACGCACGAGACGCGATGGAAGGTCAGTGTAGGTTCCAAGCCACTCCTTGGGTGACCAGCCTTTGTGGGCGAGGATGGCCTCCACAAGAAGTGCATCGGACAGAGCATCACCGACAGCTTGGTTGATCAAATCAGTCAGTGCCTGAAGGCTCTCCAGGGCGTGCTGCTGCGCTGGCGATTGAGGCTCGGTGTTCTTGATGACCTTCAGAGCATTCTCGGAGAAGGTGACTGTGCCATGTCCGTTGGCCTCAAAGTAGACACCAACATCGAACCGTAGTGCGGCGTGGTGGAGGTGCTTCACGCCGGTGTTGGTACAGATAATGGGGAGCTTGAGGATCTTCTCAATGTAATCTGTGCTTGCACCATTAGCATAGGCGGTCTGGACAACACCAATCTTCAGTTTCGAAGCAATTCCAGCATTGCGGGCAAGATCGCCGATAAAAGAAGCGGCAAGGGTGGCAATGCGGTCACCATCCAGAAGGCGGAACACGTTGCTCTCGTCCTGGAAGTAGTAAACAAGACGATCGGCGTCACCGTCAAGCGAAGCGCATCGATCAAGCGCAGCAGCTTTGGAAGAAGGAGGAGCACGTTGCTTGGTCTTGACAAAGTCGGCACCGCACTGCATGAAATGTTAGGTTAATTGAAACTTGGCTGTTGGGCAGGTGGAGGCATACATCAAAGTTCAGGGAGTCAGGGTTGATAACATCATCGTTGACAATCTTAACATCGATTCCAGCAAGATACTTCATCAGTTCCCTCAATTTAGGCCCACCAACACCGTTGGCGCAATCCACAGTCAAGGAACCCTGGACCTTCACTCCTCGCATAACCTTCTTGAAGGAGTTTGCAAGCTTCTCATAGTATCCTTGCTCAGTTGGCTCGCCATACTCGTATTGTGTTCCAAGGGTGTTTTTGCAGCGAACAACGTAGTGAAGCTGCGGGGTGGTCATGTATTTAAAGTCCACAAACTCAACGTCTGTCACGGTGAGCGCGGCGTTCAGAACGCCTACTAGACGGGAACCAGAAGCACGGGTGTCACGAGCGAAGACCACACGAGCGGGGTTGGCCATATTGACATCAATTTCCTTGACAAGTTCATCATAGACATCGGCGATATTATCCAATGGAGCATTTGCCAGTCTTGTCGCGTACGCCTCCCACTCGGCCTAGTTAGAACAGTGAGCGGGTTGTTCCAAATTCGGTTATCCAACGCAGGGCAATCTTACTTCAAGCATCTCGCCCTAGAGAAAATTAAAGTTAGACTTGTCTCAATGGGGATAGTACGAGGATAGTACTATGGCAGGGACCGATGACTTGGACTCACCATGGGGTCAACCAGCTTGACACCATTGTCCTCCGCGGGGTTGTGGCTAGCAGTAACCATAACACCAATCCATTGTCCACTAAGCTTCTTCGACCGCAGACTTGCAAGCAAGCCCACTGCAAAAACAACGGTGTTCAGGAGGTCGCTGCACAGCCAGATTGGTCAGAACAAGTCGGCGTCAACAAGGACGATCGCAGAGTTCTTGAGATGCGGAGGCAGGGTGGATCAAAGCCACATTTGAAGAAACTTACGCTTTCATGCGAAACTATAACGGAGAGAATGGAAGTTAGCCGACCTAGCCTGAGTGTTCTTTAAGTAATGCGACATACCCCTGCTGTGCCATACTCAAATACCTTGCCCTCTGGCTTTGTGTACTGCAACGCCGCCTCGGTGATCGCTTTCTTGACAGCCGGAGAGGCCATGGCGCAAAAAATGTAATTGGTTATGAAGCACCGTAATGAGATTCAAAAGGGCAAATGCTTTGAAGCTTCAGGGAAAGTCAAGGTCGAAGAGAAGGGTTGTACTTGAAACAAAAAAAAGCGGCTGAGGGGTTTGAAGGTTTATTGCGACGGCCTTAGCGGTGAGCAATTGGCGGGGAACACAGACCAGGATGCGGCAAGGGAAGTGGCAATAAAATATACACCCGCATTAGCCGCCGTGGATATAACAGCACCGGTAAACACTCTGGTGGGGAGCACCTAAATCTTCATTGCTGCTACCTCCACGTCTAAGCTACAGTCAAGCATGACAGATTACCATGTCTATGCTATCCTGGGTATGTATACATATACAATGATCGCCAAATTTTAATCCTCTTCACGCCTTTAGCCTATGCGTCGCAATATCGTCTTGTGTGTCCCTGATCAGGAACCTGTCGGGAGCAACCGATATGTTAGTCATGGGAACAAAATATGTCGTGCAAACGGAGGGATGACATACGAATACCACCAAACAGCGGGGACCACTGTACCCAGATGCCAGAGACTGTGCGCGTCGATCAACCCATTCCAAGGGGGAAAATCGAGCAACTCTAAACTCATAGCCATGATTATCCACGCCACAATCATACCAGGCCAGGCGGTCCAAGATTTCAAATGTCTTTGGTATCGGAAGATACTAAAACCGGTCCACAAGAGGTTTTGAATAATGCCAACGACTACGTTCGCCATCATATTGTAAGTGTAGTCCCAAGACCAGAAGGTAAGATAAGACACGTGCAATGTGTACAGCAGAACGCAGACAGCAGTCCAAAGCCGACGTAGGGTTGGCCGGTATGGAGGATACTCGAGGTCCAGGCGGAAAATTCGAACAACAGCAAGGTAGAGACCGTACAGCACACTAGCGCCAGCCGCCCAGTAGTCCAGCTTCTCCGTCAGGGGGAAATCACGCATATGGAATATCATGCTGAAACTCCAGCTTGCAAGTCCAGCGTATCCAAACATCATGTAATATGGGCGGAGCGAGTGCCAGGCGGGGATAGACTCTTGAATACGAGACATGCCATGCCAGTGGGCAGCGAAGTTGAAGAAGGAGAAGAGCACCGAGAAGGGCTCCTGCATCCCTAGGAGCCTACGGAATGGCCACTTCCCGTGGAATTGTACAACCGGGCTGATCATTGGGGGATCACGCGAAACTCGGCGGTCGGTTATGACATGTTGACAAGTGTAGTCACATTCAGCAGGGCAGGTCCATAGTAGCAAGCGATGGTGGAGAGCTAAAAAAAAGTCAGAAATGGGAAACCGGGGAACGATTGGAATGATGACTTAACATACGTAGCACTGAATTACCGTTCTGACAATTTTCCGTTTTACAGACCTATGGTTGTTAGTTGTTTCCAAGGGTCTGTTGTCGCGGAGTTGTACCTGGACACATTCTTTGAATTCGGGGAGATGGTCTCCTAGTGACGCGTTGGACCTGCCAATGAGGGAGGCTAAGAAGACGAAAGAGAAAAGAGCGTAGAGATTCACTCTTCCTATACCCAGATTCATTGTGGACCGATAGGTTGGTTTCGAGGTCTTGGGCGTTCAAGTAAACTAAAGGAAGAATGGCAGGTTGGGCGGAGCTCCCGGCGGCATCGAAGAGCCTCCCTCGGTGGTCTTGGCAAGATCAAAACAGCTCTTTGTTTACCCCACAGTGCCATTGATTTACTTTGTGCAGCTTCAATTGAAGTGGAATTGGCCTTTTTTTGCTGCTATTGTCAGATAGCATTATTGCTTGGAGATCTTCATAGTTCACTCGAAAGAAAGACATAGTCAACGGCGCAATTGGCCTACTCTAATGATCAAATATCATCAATTGGTGCTAGCCATCCTTGGACATGGGTTATTCTCCATACGGATACCACCCACATAGGATGCAAGTGCACATTGATACGCCTAGAACTTCCCAGTGGTACAACTATGCCACGCAGATAGCCCTATGCGAGTGAGGGCAAGCTTTATCATGTGCACATCCACGTGATTTCCAAATGCAGCTAGTGCGGGCGGGGATTGGAGTTAAGCTTGGCGGGCGGGCAAATAACCCAGAAGAAAAAAAAAGTTAAGGGTCGATCTCTGTTGGACTTTTATCTTCAACATCCTTCCTATTTTTTTTACTCTTCTCTACCTTCCCCTTTAGACCCGTTCTTCTTTTCTATACAGTCAAGATGGACACCGGATCCGATACCCCTCAGGGGATCACCAGCAGTGCTGATCGCATGGTTGGCATGGAGCACTCTGAAGTCCGCTACTTCACTAGGTACGTTGTTCTTCATCGATTGGGTCTTTGGACTTTTGATGTTAACAATTTAATAGCTATGACCACCACGGTAAATTGTCTTGATCAGTGATGGTGATTTTTTGGTTTGGTTTTGACTGACGATCATTTTTTGGGGGGCTGCCACAGGTATCCACGAGGAGATGCTTGTAAGGACAAATTCACTGGTTTAGTTGACTACTACGGTATCTAACATTCATTTCCTACCCTCTAGAAAGATGATGTGCGCACACGCTCCTACCGCGACTCCATCTACCAAAACCGCCACATCTTCAAGGACAAGATCGTCCTTGATGTCGGCTGTGGAACTGGTATTCTGAGCATGTATGCGTCCGGACAGTAATCCTGTCATCTTGGATCTTTTTGTTCACTATTTTTTCTCCAACAGGTTTGCTGCTCGTGCCGGCGCAAAGCACGTCATTGGTGTCGACATGTCCTCAATCATCGAGAAGGCCCGTCAGATTGTCCAGGTGAACGGACTGTCCGATAAGATCACTCTTCTCCAGGGCAAGATGGAGGAAGTTAACCTTCCTTTCCCCAAGGTTGATATCATCATCTCTGAGTGGATGGGCTACTTCCTTCTGTACGAGTCCATGCTGGACACCGTTCTCTACGCCCGTGACACCTACCTCAACCCTGGTGGTCTAATCTTCCCCGATAAGGCTACCATGTACGTTGCTGGTATTGAGGATGGCGATTACAAGGATGATAAGATTGGATGTAAGCATCTTTACTTTGAACGTTTTTCAGGGCTGTGCTAACCAAGTTCAGTCTGGGACAACGTCTACGGATTTGACTACAGCCCCATGAAGGAGATTGCTCTTAACGAGCCCCTCGTCGATACCGTCGAGATGAAGGCTCTTGTGACCGATCCCTGCCCGATCATCACCTTTGATCTGAACACCGTCACCACGGCCGACCTTGCCTTCAAGGTGCCTTATGCCCTTACCGCCAAGCGTCCCGACTTCATCCACGCCATGATCGCCTGGTTCGACATCGAGTTCAGCGCCTGCCACAAGCCCATTCACTTCTCCACTGGTCCCCACGCCAAGTACACTCACTGGAAGCAGACCGTGTTCTACCTCCGTGATGTCCTCACCGTCGAGGAGGAGGAGAAGGTTACCGGCTGGATTGAGAACCGTCCCAACGATAAGAACAAGCGTGACTTGGATATCGGCATCACCTACAAGTTCGAGACCCCTGATGCTACCCGCGCGGCTGAGGGTGGCTGCTTCTACCGCATGTAAGCTCTTCTGGCATTTTTCTTTGGCTCGTTTGTGAGGCTTTTATACTAATACATCAAAGGTGTTAATTTTGTTCCACTTTTCTAATTTGATGTCATTGGGATGTACAATTGCACGTTTGCACGATCTAAGTGAAATATTCTCGTCACGCAATGCATCCTAGCATGGGCATGTATGAAATTGCCCAAGGCGAGTTGGACAACCGGTTTCGCCTTTGTTTATTTCGGCGTTTAGTTCTTGGGAGGCAGGAAAAAGGCATTTTGTGGCGCGAACGGAGGGATATCATTCTGAAGCTCCTCGAATTTCCAGGTAGATACCCGAGTCGATGCTTAGTCTAGCAAACTCCAACGCTCTTCTTCTGGACATGTTTTCCATGCTAGGCTGTAGACAATGTCAATGGCTTAACCCGGCAAATTTAAGACAAAATAAGACCGGCTAAGGGAAATTGTGCCAAGGAGATGCCCTCGTCGGCAAAGCCACGGCCTGAAAAGACTATCACTTCTTGATGGCCTGTACATCTATTGGAGCTACTTCAGTCTGCCATTTCTTCTTGATTTTCCTTATTTTTCTAAGAAGATCCTTATCTTATATTCATCAATCCCTTTGTGTTCCCATACTAATGTTGGTCCCTGGAGCTGGTCACGAATTCCCCGTCCAAGGGGTCTCTTGGAAGAGGCGTGAAGTGCTAATGTTGGCCAACAGCATTGGTATCAAGGCGGACGAGCTGCGGTTCCTCTGTTCATGCCACAAGCCACATATGTACCAGTCTAAATACCACTATCTAATTAGGATCAAGGCACTCCACCCCAACTTCTCCGTCTTCCCAACCTATTCTCTCATCCCCGTATGTTAAGCACCCCGGGGACTTTCAGGAAATTGTACTAACTCCAAATCCATTCGCACTTAAGCTCACTGACCAGGAGGTGGCTGATTCTTATGCTCGCCAGAAGGCAGTTCGTATTCTAGGCGCCCCCGACCTGCACCATCTTCATAGAGTCGATGGCCAGCATCAGCTCACTGTCGTTAAGCCGCTCCCTACCACTAGCGCAGGGTGCAAGTTTGAGCTGCGCAATAATTTCGTTGATGTTCATGATAAAGGCAAGCATGGTACTGTCATTGAGACCGAGCAGTCTATTGTGAATAGGGAGAGCGGCGAGTTGTACACCAACGTTGTGAGTAGCGGTTTCATAGCCTGACAGGGTCGCTGTGGTGGCAAGAATAGTAATGGTCTAATTTGATCATCCTGCGCAAAGTTTCAACTGACGTATTTGAGCAGGACCAAGCACCGTCAACTATCCCCCGCCCAAGGGCAAGGTCCCGAACGCAACGCACGTTGTTCAGAGCAACTCAGAGGCAACCCGCCTGTACCGGGAAGTACTCAGTGCATGTTTTTTTAGCTCTATATCCTTGAATTTAATTATATGCTTAAAACATCTGTGCTAACTCGTTGCCTAGTCTCAATGGTGACTATAGCCCTCTCCACGCCCACTCCGGAGCCTGACCAGAAGATGAGCTTCGGTGGTGCTATATTCCACGGTTGTTTCAGCTGTGATTCTGCTGCGCACGGAGTTCTGCGCGAATTGGGTGGTAGCAATTCTATCAATATGAAGGAGTATCAGGCTCGTTTTGGCTCCCTATCCAGCCCGGTGAAAGACTTACCACTGAAATTTGAAGAATAGAAATTTTTCAGGATAGCTATGAGGAGATCCGATTTGTCACTAAGAACGACAAGGGCTGTGTCGTGTTGAGCAATGGCCGTTGTCTGTTGAAGGTGACAAGCGTGAAGAGCAAGCTGTGATCACGATTGTTTACATCAAAGCTCAGTTCTGTTACAGTTAATATGCCTTTTCAATTAAATGCACATCTCACAAACCCTTTTTCATCGCCGTGTGCCACTTTCGTAGAAAATGAAGCCACAGGTAGTTGTGCACATAGTTCCCTTTTATGCCCACACGTGACCGTAACCTCGGTTGTCCCGCCCTACAAATCAAACCACTACCCCGGATTTCTCCAAGCATTGTCGCATTACTCCTTGTACTCGACCTAAGAAACCCTCGTTCTTCATATCGATCATGAGCTTAAGCTGGCGTGCAGCACTCAGGTCGAGTGGACTGTGGAGTTGCGCCGGGTAAGATCTGCTATTCACCTGTTGTTGAACAATCAAGGCTAAACTCCCTCTCGAATTAGACCCAAAAGACTGAGAGCCCGTTACTCCCCCGCTGGTGCTTTGGTACGGTCTTAGTGCATGGTACACACTGAAGTTAATCATCAAAAACTAACTAGGTCTCTTTGTTCCGTTGTTCATAGACTGGTCATCGACATGCCACACCTGGTTCCTTAAGATTGCTGAACACCAACATGGCCTGGAATGGTCCTCAGATTGCTTGGTCCAGATCCGATATAGTGACCTTCCCAGGTAAAGACAAAAATGATCGGGAAACCAAGTTAAATTTGTTTGTTATAACTTCAAAAAAAGGTGAAAGGCAACTGACTTGTATCTTTTAGCGGTCGTTTTTTCCTCAGGTTAGTGACCAAATCTGTAAACTAGAAGCTTGAGATTTCACTAACAACATGATACTTGCTACCAGAGAAAACTGCCAATGTCCCAAATGTATCCACCCGGATACGATGCAGAGGATAAGCGACACTTTCTCGGTAGGACTACCTACAACTCTCTGTGACTACATTCTCTCTGATACTACCTCCTATAGATTCCGCAGAACGTTAAGATAGAGTCAATTGAGCACAGTGATAACACGGCCAAGATCAAGTGTGAGAGATGACCTGCATGATTCTGATCCCTTCTATTATCAGAACTAACACCGCTGCAGGGTCTGATAACCACATAGGGCTTTATTCATATGCCTGGCTTTATGCGCACTCGCAGGAAATGTCTCGTATTGAAGGAAGCAAGTCAGCGCCATATCCCCAATCAGCAATGCAACGTCCCAGGTAAGCTACTCAAAGCCAAAGAATTCGAGTCATGAAATGATGTTGATGCCATTGAAGGCAGTTCACCCCAGTCATGAATCCAGATCAGAGTCCCAGGGTCAAATATGACGATGTTATGTCAGACGATAATTCTCTTCATATTTGGTTGAGCCATATTGTACACCCTCCCTGTCTTGAATTTTTGATTAAACTTACTAACATTAATGAAGTGGGACCAGGGATTCTGTTTTGTAGACGATGTTCCTATCAACCCAGAGGCTACTCAATTTCTCATCGAGCGGATTGCGTTCATCAGGAACACCCACTATGGTATGTACCGCAGATCTAAGATTCACTAATGGCTCATTCAGTTAACATAGCTTCAGGTGGCTTTTGGGACTTTACAGCCGATTTAACTTTCAAAGACACGGCATACACCAATGAGTTCCTGGGTGCTCATACAGACAACACTTATTTCACAGATCCTGCAAGGCTTCAGCTCTTCCATCTGCTATCCCACACCGAAGGATCTGGGGGAGAGAATCTCTTAGTTGATGGTTTTGCAGCTGCAGCTCAACTACGCCTTGAGAAACCTGAGCATTATGCCCAATTGGCAAATCATAGGCACCCATGGCATGCAAGCGGGAACGAAGACACCTGCATCCAACCATCCGTCATGGCACCGGTATTTTCAATGCATCCGGATCTGAAGAAAATGTACCAGATCCGTTGGAACAACTATGATCGTGCACCAAAGACCAATTGGTCGGCATCGGAACAGACCACATGGTACCGCGCTGCGCGCCACTATAACGAGATCCTACAGAGCAGAGAAATGTGGACAAAGCTAAAACCAGGATCGGCGCTTTGTAAGTCTTTGGTGCCATTTTGATGGTAACTTCGGCTTACACGTTTCTTTCTTAGTGTTCGATAACTGGAGAATGTTACATGGCCGCTCTCAGTTTACTGGAAAGAGGCGAATGTGTGGTGGCTACGGTATGTACTATCTGATATCCCACCTTTCATAGTTTTTCTACTAAGGAAGTGCCAGTCAACAACGATGACTATATTTCTCGACTTCGTTTGCTCAAGTTCGGCCGGAAAGAGGTGCTAGACAACCTTGGCAACGTCGGAAATAATCCCAAGAACCCTTATTGGTTCATATAGACTCTGGGTGATACCAATACAAGATAACTCACATGTACAAATAAATCAACACCTCCGTAGATAGAATCGAATCGCATTTGATTATAAACATGGATCATATCACGTGACGCTATATGGCTGACGTTGTTGGAGCTCGGCCACCGACAGCTCTTCCTCCCAGCAACCTTTTCTCACCTTCCCCCATCCTTTTCCAATCTACTAGCCTACTTTATCCTCATTTCCGAGATTTCTATCTATCTGGTTCTATAATTCCCAATTTGTCGATTCCACCATGTCGACTCTTGAGGACCTCGACGACCTTGAGCAGGAGCAGAGAGACAAGAAGCAAGACCAGAACGATGGTAATGGCAAGAAGCCTGAAGGCGATGGCGATGCCAATATGGAAGACGTCGGCAAAAAAGACGAAGAAGAAGAGATGCTGGACGAGGATATCTTGAACTCAAGCACGGCAGACATCGTTACGCGACGGCGGATGCTGGAGAACGAGATGCGAATCATGAAAAGCGAGTTTCAGCGTTTGACACATGAGCAAAGTACAATGAGGGAGAAGGTGAAGGATAATCAAGAGAAGATTGAGAACAACAGGTGTGTATTCCCTGGTCCCCGTGCTCGCTGTTCTGCAAGCCCACGGAGCTTGGTAGCCGGCTTGCGGATCGGCGAAAAGCCACTTTTCTCTCAACATTCTACTGACTTTTCATCCGCGATTATCTAGACAACTACCATACCTTGTAGGAAACGTTGTGGAGCTATTGGATCTTGATGTGGAGGCAGAAGCAGCGGAGGAAGGGGCTAATATCGACCTGGATGCTACCCGCGTAGGCAAATCCGCTGTCATCAAGACCTCCACCCGCCAGACAATCTTCCTTCCGCTTATTGGTCTTGTTGACCACGAAACACTGAAGCCCGGTGACTTGATCGGTGTCAACAAAGACTCATATCTCATTCTGGACACACTTCCGGCCGAGTATGACAACCGCGTCAAGGCAATGGAGGTCGACGAGAAGCCCACGGAAAAGTACACAGATATCGGTGGCCTGGATAAGCAGATCGAAGAGATCGTGGAAGCCATCGTGTGGCCTATGAAGGAGGCAGAGCGCTTTAAGAAAATCGGCATCAAGGCCCCAAAGGGTGAATTCCTTTGCTCTCTCTCCCGCATTTCAGAGCTAACCTATTTAATTTTTCTTCCGTAGGTGCTTTGATGTACGGACCCCCAGGTACCGGTAAGACGCTTCTGGCCCGTGCCTGTGCCGCCGAGACGAATGCCACATTCCTCAAGCTTGCCGGACCCCAACTGGTGCAGATGTTCATCGGAGACGGTGCCAAGCTTGTGCGCGACTGCTTTGCCCTGGCTAAGGAGAAGGCGCCCTCTATCATCTTCATCGATGAGCTGGACGCCGTGGGTACCAAGCGTTTCGACTCAGAGAAATCCGGAGATCGCGAAGTGCAGCGAACTATGCTGGAACTCCTGAACCAACTGGACGGCTTTGCCTCGGACGACCGCATCAAGGTCCTAGCGGCAACTAACCGTGTCGACGTGCTGGACCCTGCCCTGCTGCGTTCCGGTCGTCTGGACCGAAAGATCGAGTTCCCCCTGCCCAACGAAGAAGCCCGCGCCAACATCCTGCAGATCCACTCGCGCAAGATGTCTGTCGAGGATAGCGTCAACTGGGCTGAGCTGGCTCGCAGCACGGATGAGTTCGGCGGTGCCCAGCTCAAGGCCGTTTGTGTTGAGGCTGGTATGATTGCACTCCGGAAGGGTCTGAACAAGATCGGTCATGAGAACTATGTCGATGCTATCGCTGAGGTCCAAGCTAAGAAGAGGGATACCAACATGGGCATCTATGTTTAGAGTAGATCGTCTTGCTTCTTATGTCCCGATCCATACACGCTCTTCTCTTCTGTGTTGCCTCTCTTTGATGTTTTGAGTCATCTCGTGTATGTATGCTCCCTCGGCTTGAATGAAAGCTAGTAATTCGTTATGCATGAATGGCATGGACCTCTTATTACGATTTTCTTTATACATCTTCCAAGCAAGTGTGGTTTAATTATCTGCCTTGCGGTGATACCGTCTATGTGGCGGAGTTCTACTCGTAGAAATACATGCTCAGAGATAAAAACCGCCTTTTTGATCACTGTGCATTGTAGCATGTACCAATAAATGCGACTAGAATCACTTGTGCATAGCGAATACCACAACAGCCTAGAGAATCCCCAAGGGCAAAAAAAGATGTAAAAAAAGACACGCAAAGATGCAATGGTCATAAATCCATACCAACAACCGTGGCTCGTCACAGACACCAACACCACTTCCACCATGAGTTTTATGGGGGAAAAAAAGACAGGAAAGGAAAGAACAGAGAAAGCAATGAGTCAAGGACAAAGAAGAGGAGGCAATCTGATTAGAAAACTCCCCAGTCCTAAGTCTTAGTTCTTACCCTGGGCATCCTTAAGAGTTACAATGCGATTAAGCACCAACCTCTCATCCGTAGACTCGCGATCAACAGCAAAGTATGCAACACGCATACCCTGGAAGCGAATAGAGTGCTTATTCTCACCGGGCTCCTCAGCACCCTTCTCCTTGGGCCACGGTGCCGAGCGGGAGATATCCCGGAATCCAGTCTCAACCATAGCATCCTTGAAGATCTCCTCGGAGTCCGGATTGATATCGGCGAGGAAACCAGCCGGGTGGGCAGAAGGATCCTCTGACTTGAAGAGTGAGTTGAAACCACGAACCTCGGCGCGGATGGGGCTGTTGTGTTCGGCCGATTCGCCGATCCAGTGGATGAAGGACTTGGGTTTTGTGGGCGTTTCGCCTTCGGCGGGTTTCTCGTATTTAGCGTGCACGCAGGTAACCTCGCCGGTGGCAGGGTCTGTTTCGAAGGAAGTCGCCGTGATGGGATAGGGAACTTTGAGGAGGCCGACTGTTTTGCCTGGGGCGAGGCGGAAGTAGTCTGGTGAGTCGACAGCACGGAAGTCGGAGTGCTCAATGTAGACCGTCTTCGTGAAGGGGATATTGTGGGTGCCGAAGGCTGGATCCTTGGAGAAGGGGCAGTCGAGGAGCTCGACGTAGTCTTCTGGGAGGTCGTCGATGATAACCTTCAGCGGCTCAAGGACAACCATCAGACGTGGGACAGTAGTTTCAAGGTACTGGCGGACGATTTGCTCGAACTTGGTGACCTGGACGTTGGTGGTGTTCTTTGTTACACCGAGGTCGTTGACGAAAGCGAGGATCGCGCCGGGGGGTACACCGCGACGGCGCAGCGCGATGAGGGTGTACAGGCGTGGGTCATCCCAGTCGCGAACATGTCCTTCCTTGACAAGCTGGATGATCTTACGCTTGGACAAGACTGTGCCGGTGATGTTGAGACGGCCGTACTCGCGCTGGTTGGGGCGGTAGACCTCCAGCTTATCGCAGAGCCACTCGTACGAGACGCGGGAGAGCTCGAACTCAGTTGTACACAGAGAGTGTGAGATTTCTTCAATACTATCACACAAACAGTGCGCGAAGTCGTAAGTCGGGTAAATCTTCCACTTGCCGCCGGTGAGGTGGTGCTGCTTGTCCTCAGTGCCCATGATGCGCCAGGCGAACAGATCCCACATCTGCGGGTTCGGGTCTGTGATATCCTGCTTCATGCGCAACGCTGCCTCACCAGCCTTGTATTTTCCGTCGCGCATGGCACGGAATTCGGTCATAGACTCTTCGATGGGTCGTGTGCGGTGGCTGCATGAGAAGCGTTCTCCACCGCGCTGGCCGCCCTCGACCTCACCACGCTGGGCCTTAATCTCTGACTTGTTGCAATGGCAGACGTATGCACCATCACGCTTAATGAGATCCTCTGCGAGCTCGTAGAGGCGGTCAAAGTTATCGCTGGCGTTGGTTTCACGCACAGGGGTGAAACCGAGCCATGTCACAATCTCCCGGATAGCATTGTAGTATCGCTCCTCCTCGCCTTCTGGGTTGGTATCATCGAAGCGCAGAATGCACTCGCCACCGTGGTACTTGGCAAATCCAAAGTTGATTGCGATGGCTTTGCTGTGCCCGATGTGGAGGAATCCGTTGGGCTCGGGCGGGAATCGCGTGCGGATCTTGGGGACGGTCTCGGAGAGGGGCTTTTCCTGGTACACGTCGTGTAGGAAGCCGACCTTGAACATAGCCTCGGGGTCCCGGGGCGCAGGAGCCTCCTTACCCTTAGGTGCCTTTGGCTCTCCCTTGGGTTTGGGCTGGTCCTGTCTTGCTAGCTTGGCAGCCGCTTTCTTGGCCGCTGCAGCCTCTTTCTTCTCCTGACTCTTGGACTTCTTGGGTGGATCCGTAGGCTCGGTGGCCTCCTTGGGCCTCTCAGGCAGGTCAATGGGCTTTGCTGGGTCCATTGCGATGAGTAACGATTGTGAAAGCGAAAGTGATGATATTTTTTTTTTCTCAACGAGGGGCTCTTTGTATTCAATGCTTATCAGTTGACATTCGCTTATCGGTCCGATTTAGCCCGGGATGAGTCATCTTTCATACCACCGCCTCGTGTGAGTAACAACGTAGGGCTGCAGGGGTATTTTAACATAGAGAAGAAGGATGAGGCATTTTCTATTCTAACAAATTATTACTATGTGACCAATGAATATTGTACAAGTACGAGACAGGGAGTACGCAGACTCGAGTAAGACAGAAAGAAGAACAGAGCACATTAACCTCCCACCGACGATGATACAACAATGAAAGATAGTTCGAATGGCAAGGCGCCAAAGCATATTGAATCATTATGCAACGTGATCTCCATCCATCTGACACAGCAGCACATGTCTCCTGGATCCCGTATTATGAGACAAGAACCAGTGAACTGGATGATCGAATCGAAAGGAAGTTAAAAAAAAAACACAAATAAGAAAAAGAGAACATAACAACTGTGGGGTATATCGCATGGAGTATAGAAAGACAAGAAATAGAAGGAGATTTAAAAAAAAGAGGATAGAGGAGTAGAAGGAATGGGTTAGAAAAGTTGTTTAATGCCAACGAGCTCTGAGTTGCCCGGACGATCACGCTCCATATGGAACCACCAGTCTCGTCCCCTTTTGTGGTTCCAGGTTCCAGTGCAGGTATCCTTCTCCCAAGGCAAGGTCGAGCCCATTACACTGCTCATCGGCGTGATTGGTGTTGTGGGTGTTGTCGGAGACGTACCCATCATAGACCGCCCACTCAAGCTTCCCCAACCAAACCTAGAAATGGTGGATGCAGGTGACATGGGCTCCTCGGGAGTTAGGATAGAAGGGCTTCCGCTGCCGAGATTGTTAATACCTACCCCGGCAGCATATGACAGTGACTGGTTCGAGGCAAGCAGTTGCTTCCACCCAATCAAGCCACCGTCTGACTCCTGCCCAGGTAGATCAGGACGGAGAAGGAAGTGAGGAATGGATGCGCCAGTTGCAGGATCCCTGATTCCACTACGGCCCATCAAAGTTGGCATACGGAACTCGTAGACCGTTTTAGGGCCGCTGTGGCTGTTGCCCTCGCGTTTGAACCGCTCGCAGGCAGCCCAGATTCCGTAGTCGTCCATTACCTGGGGCTCTTCCTCAAACTGGGAGTGACGCGCATTGTCTGGCACATACGAGTCCGAGTAATCTTGGATCAAAACTGGCATGCCGGCCTCGGTGTCCTTGGCGGCCATATCGATGAACGTCTGGGCACGAATTCGAGCGGAAGTCAGATTGTTCCCCGCTGGCAAAGCGAGCGGTCGAGTGTTCACAGAACCGCGAGAGCTGCGAGGCAAGCTGTACCGGTCTGGTCGGAGTAAGGCTTTGCCCTTGGGTATTGGCCGGCAGGCAGCCTGGAGTGCACCTGGGGGCTCCACATCGCAGGGTGCGCGGAGAGCTACCAGTTGAGGGAAACCGGCGGAGATGATGCTCTGGGCAAGATGAAAGTTGGGGGCATTGGAGGATTTTGTGGGTTTCTGGAACGGGAGGGTCTCAAGTTGGGTAAGGGCGGTCCCTGGGTCTGGGCATGCCACATCCCAGTGCAGATATTTCAGATTTGATGAGGCCAGGATGGGCTGGAAGATCACATGTTCATCTGGCAAAGTTGGGCACTTTTCGGTCTGGACTATCTTGAACCGTTCAAGTTGTCGTAGTGACGCAAGGATTTTGGAAATGACTAGAAGTGACTCGATGTTTGGCTCGATCAAAACAAGGGTTTTGAGAGAGAGTGATTCAGCTCGCGACGCGTACTGCGAGAGACCAACATCTGTAATTCCAGGCAGGTTCTCCAATCTTAATGACTCCAAGGTTGGCAGACACATCAATGTGCTGTCATCAAAGGAGTCTTTGTTGAAGGAGGTAATGCACAGGTTCCGCAAAGAGGGAAGGAGATTGAACATGCGCAGAGAGATGCTAGGCTCCAACGCGCCATTTCCGTTCAATCCATAAAGCATCAGTGTCTCGAGACTTGTCCACGAGGTGTGATAGTCCAGAAACTCGAACATTTGGGAAGGGCCCAGGCTCCCAGAGCAGGCTTTGTCGCGCGGGGACAACTCCGATGTTTGTGCGGCTTCACCTAAAATCCATGTGTGCTCTTTGAGCTTTTTGCGCGTCGACAAAGCATGGGTCAGACGATCGAATTCATGGTGATATGGGATCGACAAGCCCAGTAGGCGCTCCAGATTCGGGCACACCATGACCACGGATGCTACGATGTCTCGGTACTCTTCCCATTGCCCGCCTTGTTTTGTCGTGGTAAAGAGCAAATCTAATTGCGGCACCCGCAGCTCGCATACGAGGTTGGCCAACAACTTCCGTTCGCGGAGGGTTCGTCTGAGTAGCTTCAGGCGACTCCCTCTCTTCAGACGGTATTTCTTGAGTTGTGCCGGGGAGTCATTTCCGACAATGTGTATTTTGTGATATCTAGTATTGCATTTTCAGTCAGCAAGCAATCCTGGTTTTGCTCGATAACCATGCATTCATCAAGGGGGAGGCTGGACTTCAACTCACAGAGGTCCTCTAACAGCCTTCTCCCACGACCGGCAAGTCAAGGCCAAGGCATGCAAGTCGCGTTGAAAACACGTGGTACATCCAGTCTGGTGCTGCCCTTTGTGTAACTCCTCTAAATAGTAGATTATCACTTTGTGGGCCTCATGAGGTAATCGGCGTTGAATTGGTTCAATTGATCTGGGAAGAGAATTGACAGAGTCACATGGACGGTCAGATGAGGATGGTGAGGATAAAGAATATGTGGTCGGTGCGGTTGAGGCGCTATAGTTGGTTCTGTAGGAAGATATCGAGGAGGCCCGGGAAGTATTTGAATGAACGGAATAATCGACATGGTTCTCGGGGATGGGCTTGCAAGATACCACAGGGGTCTCTGTTCTAGTGGCGATAACACTCATGATGAATCTACCCTGGCATCGGAATAATGATGCGAGACGGGAAAACACAAAGTCAAAGCTCAATAGAGAGGTAGAGGGGTTTAGGAATGTAGGGGTGAAGTTCGGGAAATGGCGTGTAATATATGTGGACCGGCAGATTCCAGTTCCGTTTTTTTTTTTTTTTTTTGGTTAAATGTAGTCAGAACACACGTATGTTGTATTGAGCAAGATTGATGAAGAAATGACCAGGTGAGGAGAAAGAAGAGTAAGCATAGAAGGGACATCAGTGAGATCCGAAAAGAATTAGCACGTCTTGGAAACCCGTACGGAGTTAAAAAGAACAAGAACAAGAAAAAGAAAAAGAAAAAGATTGTCAGTCGATCTCCTCTCCATCAGGAATGAGTTGAGTACCTAGAGTCCATACAATATAGGTACTCCATACGGTAAGCCGTGCAGAGGAGTAGAGCGGAGACGAGGAGGGGCGGTTCAGGGGTTAACAATCTGTTCTATTCGGTACAATCGGATGTAGAGAATTGTAGTCTTTGGATATTACAATGGTAAAATCGATCGAGCTGGATCTATTCTCTCATCTCACATCTAGTTCCTGTGAATGACCTCAGTACGATGACGAGGGAAAAATAGAAACGTCTCATTCTTGAAATCGATACATTGATGACCATGTGAAGATATAAAACATCTAAAATATCTGATTATATCAAAAACATCCGAGTGTCAAAAGGGTTCGTGGCCTTGACCACACGATCGCCTATTTAGGTTTAACCCGGTGGGTTAAAGCATCAGTCACGTCTTACCCCTTTTCCTTTTCCTTTTCCTTTGCCTCTTTTATTTTTAATACTTTTTTTTTTCTCTTTGCTTGTGTTCCACAGGTTGATTTTTAATATATTAGACCTACAGACTCTCGTTTGGTTTTAGGGTGATTGAAATTGAAAGTACGGAGCACAGGTGTGTTTCACTTTATAGTAGTTCATACTTCCAAATTATCCCCTTACTATATACTCCGGTGTATAACGGCCCAAGCGCATATCATTCTGCAAGCCAAGGAAATAGGCAAGAAGGCGGCTCACACCTTTCTTCCAATTTTTGGGGGGGGGGGGGGGGGGGTTGTTTTAGTTTTTTTTTGGATTTATAAATACATGGTCTGCGTCATTGAGGGATCGACATCTGGATCACTATTGCTAACCTTGTCCCCGAGAACAACCACTTATACGGAGTAGTATCACAATGTCTAACCTTGGAACATGGACGGAATACGGAGTATGGAATTCAGAGGGCCTATTAGTAAACCTAAAAAAAAAAAAAGTTAAACTTGGCTCCAACTACTCCGTAAGCTCCCTCGCAATCATCTCCCAAATCAATACAGCAAGATCGGCGAATGGGTCACTCTCTCGACGCATGCAAGTATGGAGCCCATCCAGATCATTCCCCTGCCTTGAGTTACGATGTACCGAGTACTCCAGACATCGTAACTATAACGTAAAGCGGAACGCTCGGGTACGTGATGTCTATCCCACTCCACTCCCACAGATCGGAACTTGGAACAGAGTCACAACTGAAACCCCGATTTAGTGGAGACGCACTGAGGGTCCAACTCGAGTACTGGAGCCAATTGCGCCATTGGATCTTGCTGTACAAAGTACTGATAAGGGCCTTACCAAGAGTGCCACTCTCGTTCGGATTTGGAATTGCATGTGGAAGGGCCACTTGTCTGCGTACCTGCAGTCCAATTTTGATTAAATAGAGAGACCAACATCAACGAATGATCTGTTGAGAAGGGAGAGTTCTCTTACCGGCTATTGCTGCGAAGGGCTTTGGACGTCTTGGATAAACCGATGAGCACTTTTGACTCCGTGCTTCTGGTTATGCTTTGTTTGAAGCACTCCACAGTTGCAATAGAATCGACAACCTACTTTAGACGCCCCCTGTATCAAAATTCAACATCGCTCCCAAGAGTCCTTATCTTGACAGAGCCGGTTGTGTTGGTGCCTACTGCCTTCACTCTTGAAATGGCGGAGCATATGGCTTCACACAAGGATCGGCGGCTAGTACTGCAGATCACATAAACAAATAGGCGCATGATGCTCTAACTAGCTCTTTCTGGAGGACATTACCTCAATGATACCTTTCTGGTATGAGGAGGGGGGGGGGGGGGGAAACGACCAGGTTTCCTCCCAATTGTGACATGTTAATAGTGGTCTTGAAAGGCTTGGCTTTGGATTTAGAGTGCTAAGGTAGACAGGCAACTCCAAGGTCCATGTCCGTTACGATTCCGCGGCCGTTTCTAAGGATCTTAAGCGGAGAGTAGAGAGGGGTTGCAATCAAAAAAAAATTTTTTTTCACTGTATGCTATCTATGAAGCTGGAACTGTTATCACATCACTCCAATACAAACATAATATTGGAACCACAAGGACTCGCAACCATTTCCTACCCCTTTGTTCCAATCATAGAGATTAGCCAACGTAATTCCAGCCGCTTTGGCGACTGTCTCGCAATTATCTTTATCCCCAACTCGATAGAATGTGTTACAAGTCCCAACCATGCCGGCCTGTGTCGGAGTCGGCGTAGCGACCCCTTTGCGTTTGGCTGTTGTTGTGGTTATTGTCGTAGCTGTGGTTGCAGGTTTAGAATTGACACTGGTGATGGATACACAGACGTAGTAGTCCAAAGATAGACCGGAGCAGTCGGGTTGGAGCTCGGGGTTGTATTGTTTGAGTTGGGCGATCGAAATCCCATAGCTGTGGGCAATTTTCCCACATGTATCGCCATTGCGGATCATGTGGAAGCCATCACAGTTGTTGGCCACGCCCGGGAGGATAGGGGTTGGAGTAGTGAGCTTTGTGGTTGTGGAGGTCGCTGTAGTGGAAGTCGCTGTAGTGGAAGTCGTTGTAGTGGAAGTCGCTGTAGTGGAAGTCGCTGTAGTGGAAGTCGCTGTAGTGGAAGCCGCCGCGCTGGGGGTGGCTGTACCGGATGCTGTCGCACTCGACGCTGCCGCGCTGGACGCCGCTGCGCTGGATGCCGCTATACTAGATGCCGCTGCACTGGACGCCGCTGCACTGGACGCCACCGCACTGGAAGACGATATGCTAGACGCCGCTGCGCTAGATGTGGACGCCGCTGCACTGGACGCCACCGCACTAGAAGACGATATGCTGGACGCCGCTATACTGGACGCTGCTGCACTGGATGCTGCTGCACTGGAAGACGAAATACTGGACGCTGCGGCACTGGAAGCTGCGGCACTGGACGCCGCTATACTAGACGCCGCTGCGCTGGATGCCGCCGCACTGGATGCCGCTATGCTGGAGGCTGCCGCGCTAGAGACCGCCGCTATGCTAGATGCCGCTGCGCTAGAAGCTGCTGAACTAGAAGCGGCCGCACTGGAAGCGGCCGCACTAGAAGCTGCGGCACTGGATGCCGCTATACTGGACACCGCTGCACTGGAAGCTGCCGCACTGGACGCCGCTATACTAGATGCCGCTGCACTAGATGCCGACGCACTGGACGCCGCTATGCTAGATGCCGCTGCACTGGAAGCTGCCGCACTAGATGCCGCTGTGCTGGATACCGGTACACTGGAAGTCGCTGCCGTGGAAGACGATATGGTTGAAGCCGCTGCACCGGAGGCTGCTAAAGTGGTCGTAGGCTGAGGGTCAGGTTGTCCAGACGCTTCAACGCAGTAGGAATGGTCAGTGAGGAAATTGCCACAGCCGGATGATATAGAAGGGTTCTATTCAAATCAAAACGAAGATTAGTGCAATGGATGCGCATTGAGATAGTAATACGAACTGACCCATTGCAGGAACTCTTCCATGCTAATGCCCCAACTGGACGGTATGTCCTGACAGGCAACTGATCCGTCGTTATCATACCACCACGAACAAGACGAATTAGTTGCCGAGTCATGTGAGAACTTCGGCATCTCGTCTCTTCGGAGCTTTGTTCCCGCAACAAAGGCGCTCGTAATCCCAAACACACCACAAATGGCGGCATACATCTTGCCAACCATGCTGAAGGCGCTTAATCGCAAACAAAAAACCGATAATAAGGCAGAGATAATGTTATTTTTAGCAGAGACTAATCGGGGGATCACTCGGCAAGTCCTTTGATATTTATCTACGAAGGTTTGCCCATCTCAAGCCCTAAGACGGCTCGTTCGGAATGAACAACCTTATGTTTAACTGCATTCCAATCTTCGATCTGAGGCATGGCGACAAGAGCTCACAGTCTATGCCTCCACTTGCAGATTAGTGAAAGTAACATCTTGATGTTGCATTCTGTTATTCATCATCGAAATACCTGGTTTTGTTGACTCGACAACGATCAAATATCGATCGCATACACTCGCCAAGACAGGCTCGGTTTCGCTTATGCAGGAGATCTGAGTGGAGACTCGATCTGGATGTTGAAATACCACTATCTTGGTAGCATTCTACGGGTACTTTCCCGTTATTAGGATCGGTTCGATCGAGCTAGGGGGATACGATGCAAGGCGTTTTAGTGATTTTCAAGATCGGTCCTGCATACAAAACCTACAGGGAAGGACTGACGTAGAAGGGGCTTACAACAACTGATGATCCTGTCTTTTTGCTGCAATTGAATCGCAGGAGTCAACCAAAGGCTCACGTATGACGACGAGGAAGGCTTCAAGAAGAAACGTGGAATGCCGGACGAAGAGCATTTCGGGGTTATGATGTGAACCACTGATTAGGACACGTCTGATTTCCAAGCCCTCACTAGACTTCTTGGGGAGACTTGCCAATCAAGTAGGCCGTCGGAAGGATGAGGAGGTAAAGCGATGAAGAGCAAGAAGCACACGTCGATGAGATGGTAGGGGGGGGGCTGATAGATGCTACGTGACTACCAGCTGTGTTAGTGCGAGGCCAACCATTGGGGACAACTCAACCTGCAATTTGTGCGATATGATCGTCGCTTTCCTCGATGCACTGAGAGGAACAATTGCAACCCTGTACGGGCTTCACTGATCCCAAGATCACACTCCCTGAAAGAAGTGCAAGGGTTGAAAGGGGTTTGCATCCTGTGGCTACCAACTCCCAGGCATCCAACACCGACTCAAGATGTTGTGGAGATAAAATCCAATGTCGCCTTTGATTCTCAGACCAGATGGAAATTGATATCTTCAAAGTCCCTAATGAGTTTTTTCTTTCCCTTGATTTCCATCAGGAAAGTTGGCAAAATGGTCTAACTAGGTGTTGAGATCCCTAGAGATGCCGCTGTGGTTAACGTTCTATTCCAATGGAGTTGTTTTGCTATTGGAGTAGAATCTCTCTAAGAGAGATATATAATTACTATGATTGTGGCAAGGGTAACTATGGCACAATCTGATAAGTTAGGACTGAGCAGCTCCAAATGACAAACCGCATAAGGATAGTCTGCCGCTTGTGCGGCCTTGGTCCTGAACGACGTCAGACTTCAAAACCTGGCGCTGATCTATTTAGTCCGAACTGATTTTTATGGACGCTGCGTGTAAGAAGATTCCAATGTGGTTTCAAAAGGTATGTGAAAGTGGCGTGCAGACGACCTTTTCACGAAACCCCTTTTAGAACCAGGAATTTTTACCACATTTCCCTAGTATTGATAAATTGCTTTGGAGCAATTCTGCACAGAGGGTGGACTCTGCGGGGATGAGATGAGCGCCATTATACATCGCCGTGGGTTGGAGCTGGGAATGTTAGGGGTGTTTGTGTGTATGCTGAGTCATTTTGGGGATTGGATCAGTATGGAGGACTTTGTTTGGCGAGAGATGAAGGGAATGGAAGGGGATGGAAGGGGATGGAAGGGTGACGGGGAACCGTTGATTTTCTCGTTGCGCCTCTCACTCCTGGATACACGAGTTCTCAAATGGAAAGAGACAACAGTGATAGATGAAGGTGGTTGTCGAGGCAAAACCCAGAGAAAGTAGATCCCACTAAACATATTGTAAACCCAAAGACAGCATGGACAGTTACAAGTTCAGATAAATTTAGTGTCACCATTAGTAAACAGTTCCCATGTGAATACATGCCTACATTGTTCCTGGGTGGGCTACAAAGCATCGGACGTGAACCCGGAACCCCGGACAAGGCAGGAAAATGACATGCCACGGGGAACATCATTACCAAGAGAGCCTTGGAAGTAGCAAAGAATTCCACCGCAACGATGGATTGTATGGAAGAATCTGACTTTCGACACGAACAGCATATCCATCCTCCCCCATGCAAAATGCAGATGAGATGCCGATTCCAGTCGCCAGTCTTAACGCCACGAAAATGGAAACTGGAATGAAACCTTCTACATCTCGGTTCTCCTCAAATCCCTTGAATCTGGGTAGCTTCAATCAAACCTGGAGATGCAAAGAAAAAGAAAAGCCGCGAGGAAAAAGATCCCCCAAATTATCACCGGACAGTACCGTGCTGGAACAGGAAACACCACGAAGAGAAGAAGCAACAGCAGAAACAGGAGCGAAACCCGAGGAAACGCTTCCAGGGGAAAGAGCAGGTATCAGAATCCAGGAGATCAATCCCAGATAGAGAAGAAAGTTATCGACACTGCACCAGAGACAGGATAGAAGACAAAGACAGATACCGTGCCTTGATAAATCGCCCCAGAACATGATGACTGACAAACAAGGCGCACAAGGAATATTACCCAAAACCAACTCCGCCAAACACGCAAGAATCCCCCAGGGTGTCCTCTGAAACGGAACGTGAAGAAACAGACCGAAGCCCCGGGGGAGGGGGTATGTGACCGGGAACTGGCTGACGAAACGAACGAGAGGGTTGTTACCAGAAAGAGTAGTAAGGCTCAAGATTATTACCAGGAAGGGTCCACGATCGCAGTATGATCACCATCTCAACCTGGCGTTCGGCAGGACAGGGAACAGATTGAAAGGGATAAAGGGAAGAAAGTAGGGGCAAAATCCGCAGAAACACCAGGAGGAAATGGGGATTAGAAACAAGGCAAAGGCACATGAGAATGGAAACGGTAACCCGCATTTGCGAATTGAAAGTGATGCTACCCGAGGGCATATACAAGACAAGACAAGAAATCATAATGTATACCAGATCAAGACTCCATGGTCATGCAGTAGGAGAAGAAAAAAGAAAACGTAATCACATGTCAAAGGTATCGTCAACGTTGAAAATCCCGGGTTCCGTGCCGTCGTGCGCCTTCTGGACGCCTGTCATGCGCTGGTCGACCGAGTTGACCGACTGGTGGCCTCGTTGCCAGTGATCATCGTGCATGGTGTCCTCTTCCATGAGATCGCTTTCGTCAATCAGATGATGGTCGATAGAGCTCTCATTCACGAAGGTGAAGCCCTTGAAATTGGCTTGCATCCCGGGGGACAAGGGTGTGGAGGCTGGCATGAGGCTGTTGGCGAGGTTGGCGGCGCGGAGATTGAGCGAGTGGTTCAGCTCCATAGCGTTTGTGAATTCCGGGTCGAAGTTCGATGTGTCGGTTTCAGACTGGAGCTGTGGCTTGAACGGAGGGATAACTTGCTTGCGGCACAGTGTGTCCCAGTTGATGTCGTGGAAGAAGGGGTGTGCCATGAGCTCCTTGGCATCGCCATTGGCGCCCAGTCGATGCTTGGGATTCCGGTTCAGCAGACCCTTGACGAAATTTCTTCCCTCAGTGCTAAGCGCATCACGGGGAAATCTGACTTTGCCGAATGCGATATTCTTATACATCTGCTGGGTGTCCTCGGCATAGAACGGACTCCAGCCACAGCACATCTCAAAGACCAAGACACCAAGGGACCAGAAGTCGACCATCTTTGTATATCCTTGCTCATCGAGCAATACCTCTGGGGCCAAATATTCAGTGGTACCGCAGAAGGTATTGGTGGTGTCGTTTTGGGACAGGTTTGCCTTTGATAGACCGAAATCACAGAGCGCAATGTGACCATTGGCATCCAACAGAATGTTCTCCGGTTTGAGATCCCGATACACGATGTCGTGGTCGTGCAGATGTTGCAGAGCCAGAATCAACTCGGCGATATAGAACTTCGCCCGGGCCTCCTGGAACCGACCTTCACGCTGCAAGTGCCAGAAAAGTTCGCCGCCTGACATGTAGTCCGTAACCAAATAGAGATCTGTCGGGGTTTGGAAGGAGAACTTCAATCCAACAATAAATGGAGAGGCCGTCATCGCGGTTCGTACTAAGATATTGCGCTCTCCGAGCGTATGTATCACCTCCTTCTTCTGAATAATGACTTTCTTGGAGAGAACCTTCATCGCATAGATGCGCTGTGTGTCCTTCTTCTTCACCTGGTAGACCTGTCCGAAGGTTCCTTTGCCGATAAGTTTGAGGACGAGGAAGTCGTTCGGTCCGACCTGCTTTCGATCTGTCTTTTCGAACTTCATATCGAGGTGAATTTCTCCAGACACTTGGTTGTCGCCAGCACCGCGCGCGACCAAGGGGAACCAGCCTTCCAGTCGGCTGTGATCTTCCTTCAAATTGATGCAGAGCCGTACGTGACCTAAGAAAGCTTCCTGGTTGTTGCGGTCATAGACTGTGACATCAAGTTCCGACTGATCTCCCATAACATCACTGAACAGAATGTTAGTGAGTGACCCAAGTGAAGGAGCTGGGTTGGAGTAACATACAAGGTGGCCTCGTGATCCCAGTGCGGATCTGTCACGGGCGTCCGCCCCTTGTGATCACCCTCGCTAGCACTGTTGTGAGAGCTGGATCGGGTTTTCAACGGAATAGCCATGGGCCGACCAGCAGCCTCCTCGGCATCTGATTCCAGCTGGCGCCGTTTCTTTTCCTCCTCGCCGTCACGAGCACCTTTGGAGATATACTCATTCCATTCGAATACACACACCACATACGGATCAAAACTTGGCCGGAGCCCTCGACCATCGGTGATCTTCACAAACAATTTACCATTGATCGGGCCTGTGGGCGCGCCGTTGGCCGGGGATGCTGACTTTGCAGCCACAGACGCAGTCGCAGACTGGGGCTGTGAAGGGAATGCTTCATCGAGTTTCATAGTGATCTCGTCCGTGGAGCTTTCCAGGTCTTCCGGCTTCGACTCAGACCGTGGAGCCTCTTGCGAGAGGTTTTGCGGGGCGGAAGTGGCGGTCTTTTTCTGGGCGTTTGGGACCTCGTTGGACATGGCCCGGGGAGTGAGAGGTGGGGTATTCTTAAGACGCGACCCATCGGGCGCGTTTTCAGTTAGCTTGGCTAGATTCTCGGAAGATATTGAGACATGCGGTTTCTCATGGTCGAGTAGGGAACCTTCAGACAGGGGAGAGGCATCTGAGATAGGAAGGAGGGATGGATTGGAAAAATGGGTGGCAAGAACGGGGTCGTCAGAGATGCTAGAGACTGGGAGGGAGGTTTGACGGCGGGAAGAAGGATCTTCTGGAGGAGTTTGTGTGGGTGAAATGAGGTAGTTCTTCAGCGTTGTAAAGATAGAGGACACTCCTGGACTCGTCCCGAGTTCCATCTCATCCGACTCGTGCTGTAACAAGGAATGTGGAGGGGTGTGCAGACTGGGGTTTTCCTCCTCCATCTTATCAGGCCCATCTTCTTGCTCCATCATGACAAAAGATTCGGAGGAGTCGGAGGAGTGTTGGGTGTGCGCATTTGTTTGAAGGTTCTCAGAGGGTTTCGACAGACATGACCATAACCGCGGCAGACTCGCTTTATCACCAGAGAAAGAACCAACCTGAAAGTAGTTGTGCATAATGGAAGGCAGACGCTTATCGACCAGATCGGGTTCAGGTGTTGCGATTCCAGTCGGCGTCGGGGTAGAACCATTTGACCGGATCTGATCTTGGGTATCTTCCTCCAGTCCAGAGCTATTGAGATGGAAGGTTAGCCAACGAGATGATAGCTCCGATAAAATCTTCAAATTCCAAGCTTTAGGCATATTCCGCCAAGGTCCGAGGCAAAAGGCGAGGCACGCTTTGAGAGAAGGCTATCCTCGAAACGCATTGTTTCATATAGGTCAACCCTAACAAGAACAGACTGTAATGCAATGCGGTGTGAGGGGATCGTGGACCCTCTTTTTCCCTCTTCAGCCCCGCCTTTCAAGAGGAATGCTCAAGCGAAAAATGAACCAAAAGATATAAGAAGTTGACTCACTTCATTTTCTTCATGTCGTCGCCGTGCAACACGGGTCCACTCTGCGCAGCCATTGTGTTTCCATTCAAGAAAGTCGGAAGATGAGGAGTGAGAAGGTGGGGGGGGGGGGGGTAAAATTGGGAAGTTGGGAAAGAAAAGAGAAGATTTCTTGATGAGCTAAGGGAGTTTGCGGGATGGATTTGAACCCGTTCGGATTTTCCCCAAGAACAATGAACTTTGGTTTTCTTCTGGTTTTCTTCTGTTTGGAAAATGGTTGGAGAAAGTCGATGAGTTTTCTTTTGGATTTAGCCCTGAACAAGTGGGATTATCTTTCGGTAATATAGAACCCCACTGAAAGATTAAAAAAAAAGTCTCTCAGGGATAGTCCATCTTTCCGGGTGCATTATCAAGGGGGCATAAGCTCAATGAGATGCGTTGTATATATATATATAGAGAGATCCGGCTGAATGAAGCACCGACCATAAGATCACGGTTCTTAGAAGGACAAGAGCTAAACAAAAAGAGGTTATGAATACATTCTTGTATTCTCCAATCCCGAGTCATCTACGCCTAATTTCCTAATTTGCATACCTAAAAATGGGAATTAAGAGATTATTGGAAATCTACAATCAGCAGTCAGAAATACTAAAAAAAATTTCCAAGAACAACGTCATGAGGAGATTCAAAAAAGCGTGGGTGACATTGTTCAATAGCCCAAGATATCAAGAGAGTTGCCCGGAAAGATCGATTTACTTCTTCCTTTGATCCTTATTTCCCTTATGTCCCTAACAGATTCTTGCATTTTCAAGTCACGGACATCAGTCCGAATGACATTAGGCTCCCAAGGACATGTGGCTATATCTTTTCAGAAGAGGCTGAGAGGAATTCGCCTCTCAACATGCGCCCATTTCTTCTTTGGCTATTATCTCCCCCCCCCCAAATCTCCACTCACAGCAAGATATCTCGTTATTGCATCCGATGACAAAATGGAAGTATCCGGTGTAGCGGTGCAACAAAGACCCCTTCTTATATTTGGATGGTTTCCATCTTCTACCTAGCACCAGTATGCATAATAATGTATTTAATAATGACTTGAAGTGGCAAGTTGCATGCATTATAAGTCTATTCATCCACTATTAATTTAGGTCTAGGATTTCTTTCCATGACATTATGAGATCTACATTAATTGTGAAACCCACAGATCGAGTTTCGATCCTCACATTGTGAGATCGTGACAACCTCCCAGCTTTCAAAATGGCCCGGGTCCATCTCAGCTCCCCTTGCATTTGCATACCAGGTGAAATGTGAGATATGCCGTGGTCGCAGTGGGATGCTACAAGGCCTCCACATGCGTCATCGGGGCGCACTGTGAGGTCCCAGTTTCTGCGCTAACATGTGGTTCGGCGGATTTAAGACCCGGTGTGTGCGCGATTGATGTACAACATACGTGCCACGGAAGGAAGTGAGCTTGCTGTGACTGAGCAATAGTTGTAGGAAAGGAAAAGCCAGAGAGAGCTATTGCCGATATCCGTTTGGGCCCCTCAGCTTACAGTGTTTGTTCTCTCGAATAGGGAGAGGATAAAGAGGTGATCGACGGTTGCCTTCCGCAACCTCCCTTGAGTTTGTGTAGTATAACGAATGGTGTGCTATGGAAATAAAGATCCGAGGCATTGGTTCAACCTTGTTAGTAGATTTTTTCATACCCCAAACTTGCAAATAGGTGTGCACCTTGATTTGCATTTGCCATGGGATCGTGCAGTTCTAACTCCAAAATTGGGCATACTGATTGATTCCGTGGCATACAACCTCCATCGGTGTACAGCCGAGACCTGCATGACTTCAAGGTGCATTTTCCGTTATGCACAAGACCGAGTCCGAGCTTGGATTAAATTTGTAGGTCATCTGCAATGGGACATGATCTGCGGGCTTGTACTCCGTACAACGAAGCAAGCACCTTTGAAAGCCACTCAGCATAATTTTTCTCAAGCTTCCAGCTGTCGGCAGAAAATCTACTTGATCAGAACAGACATATCTCCGGAACGTTATCATGACCAATTAGGGGGGTTTTGGCTGCTAGGCCGAAAGGGGAGATTACGGCTTTTAACATGTTATGCTGTTGCGCAATCCGAATTTGCTGCTAGTAGGGCCAATTTAAGATATTGTCCATAGAAAGCCTGGTCCTAGCGGTGACTACCACGATTGAAACAGGTACCTTCACCCCAAACGATTTTGCGATTGACCTGGAAGATAGCTTGCTCAAGTCTCCCAGGGAGTTCAAGTCGGGAGCTATCTCTCACATGTGAGATTGGAGACTGACTGCACATAGAGGCCCAAAATGAGGTCGGTGGTAACACAACCAACTAACCTATACGTTTCGATGCAGTCGTGTCTCGTGTCTTTATTAGATGGATACCATTGACACCCAATAACAATAATGCGATTCGGGAGAGAACGGTGCAGTAAACGACCGATGAGCATTTGCGGGGTTTTGTTAACATGTAAATCCATGGATGAACTCATCCTGGGCATTGAGTCCTCGCACTCCTAATGCCAGCCAACTAGGTGTAACACAAAGCCTGAGATGCTGTCCTTTGCGGTCAACCTATGATATCAATATGGAAATTATAAGACGGCAATGGCGGTTGAGAATCTAGAATTGGAAAAGACTGCATATCGAAAAACAGTTCGGAAAGTAGAATGTTCGCCGTTCAACGGCCAGCCAGATGTACAGCCCGAGGGCGCTCCCGAAAGAGCGTATGACATCATTGAGCATTATGTGACTTTGCCTTGTTTGCACTGCTTGGTGTTTGTCGCGTTTAGGACGACCGGAAAAATTTCGGCCCTTCGCAAAACAGCTATTCCTCCCCATTTGCGCTTCCCCAGCGTATCGACCAACCATCGTCAAAATGCCACGAAAGCTAAGGGCGGCCGCCCAGGCGGCTGCAAAGTCGATAAGTGAGTTGATCTCAACCCCACGTTGGCCTACACCTGCCACAAGCACCCGTCCCTACAACTACTCATTGAATTTCGCCCTTCCCATAGACGCGTTTGCGACTAACCAGCTTTAGAAAATGTACCTTCAATTCCAGATGGGTCTGATGAGGAGATGGTCGATGTCCCTTCCTCTCATCCCTCCTCACCCATAGCTGAACTAGAAGACTCCCCCGATAAAGATCCCGACGTTGAACTGGAGGTTGAACCCAAACCCAACCCCGAACTTGAACCTGAAGCCGAAGCCGAAAGCGCAGAAGTTCAGGCTCCCGAGACACCTGCCACACCCAAGCCAGAGGAAGAAGTGAGTGTTGCAAACCCCGCAGAAGATTCAATTCTTGCCGACACAGACAATACACCTTCCTACGGACCTGGCCGCCCATCACTTCCGCCCCGCGGCAAGCGTCGCATTGGTCGCCCGCCCAAGAACCCTCGGCCTGAATGGGATCCGGCCGATGGCGAGCAGCCACTTCGAGTCACCACACCAGTTAAAAGACGCCGCGGTCGCCCTGCTGCTAGCGGTGGACGATGGGCACGTAACCGTGGCCCCTCCCATCTCACCCAGGTGCCTGTCGACAAGGAAGGAAACATGATGGATGTGATCAACGACGAAGTGTCCATCCCGCCTGACCCGATTGGCGCCACTAAGGTCGATGAGAATGGCCACCTACAAGGCGGACGTGAGTATCGAGTTCGTACCTTCAAGATTCTTGGTCGCGGAGACCGCCTGTACATGTTGTCGACTGAACCGGCCCGCTGCATTGGCTTTCGTGACTCGTACTTGTTCTTTCAGAAGCACAAGATGCTGTACAAGATTATCATTGATGATGACGCCAAGCGTGATTTGATTGAACGTGATCTCATTCCCCACTCCTACAAGGGACGAGCCATTGGCGTTGTCACCGCGCGGTCAGTGTTCCGCGAGTTCGGTGCAAAAATTATCGTCGGTGGCAAAAAGATCACCGACGACTATGACGAAGCTGCTGCTCGTGAGCGCGGCGATGTGGAGGGCGAGCTTGTCGTTCCGGAAGACAGATTGCCTGGACCTGGAGAAACCTACAACAGGAATCAGTATGTCGCCTGGCACGGCGCCAGCAGTGTTTATCACACAAATGCGCCTGCGGTCCCGCTTGCCGGTGGAAAGCCAGTTGATGCTAAGAAACGCCGTGTACCGGTCACTGATGATAACTGGATGCTTGAGCATGCCCGGGCTGCAAGGTGAGTCTACATTCGATAGCGAGCAACCCGTTAGGACCTGTCGACTGATGCATAGTATAGCAACTTTAACTCAAAGCTCGCCGAGATGCGCCGTGCGAATTTGGGTGGTGTGTACGATGTCCATACCAATATTATGCAGCACCCGAAGATCATGCAGCCAACTCACGCCCGCTGGGAGCGTGTTTCCCCATCCCAGGCGCCCATGCCAACCGAGTTGACGAGGAACATGGACTCATTGAACCTCTCCAACGGAGGCTCCCATTCCGGACATGTAAACCAGAGCCCCCACGAAACCCAAGAATCGCATGAGGCTACCACTGGCGGAACCTCCACCGAAAACCCCATCACTACATTTTCCCCTGTTCCCGCTCATCTCCACGATCGCTATGTCATTCAGGACATCATCTATGAATCCCCACCATTTTCAAACATGGGCATCCCGGGCCCTGACGGCGATGTGCACGATATTGGCCCAAACGGCTTGGTCAGCGTTGCAAACCCCGAGCATCCCGAGTTCATGACTCCAGAGATTCTCGAGTTGCTTCCACCAGAGTGCAAAGAAGCTCTCATTGACGCTGCGGCACAGGAGGTTGAATGGAAGTCCAAGTGGACAACCGAGACCAGGGGCGGCGAGCGTACTCAACCAACCAAGAGCTACGCCTGGTACCCGTAAATCTTGTAGCTGATTTCCTTCCTTTTTTTAATCTTCCTCGGATTCTTGTGCGTCGGCGAAATTTATGGGTTTAGCATGGGCTGGGTGGCTGGACATGGCAGGCGAAAGCCGCTGGTAGTTTTTTTTTTTTTTGCTTTCTGCTTTCGAGTCTGCTTTTGCTTTCTCGGCATGTGTCTTGGATAGATATCTGCCTATCCCCATGGTATGATTTAGTAACTGGTTTTTTTTCTTTTTCTGTCCTTCAATGCCGAGCCTACATGACTGGATTTGGCTTCGAGGGATGGACAATTAGACAATAATGAACCAACTTGGTTCTACGGCAACAATGCTCAAGCTAGCATGCCAGCTCTTCCAGAACCTCTATGATGTTATCTTCTCTCTAAAAGCAGCACTTACGAAATAACCCCCTCTATGTGCATCTTCTAGCCATGGTCAACTGGTGACCTACAACTCAAGTCATGGATGCAGATATGTCCAAAGCTGAAAAATTAAATTAACAAAAAACTAAGCTTACACAAATAAATAAAAGAAAGTAAGACCGAGGTCATCTAAAACTCCATTTTAAGAAAAAAGCAAAAATGAACATGAACCCAAGAAATGGAAGGAGTTGGCTTGAAAAAGGGGGTTGAGGAGTGGAACAGCCAGGTAGAAAAACAACAAGAGACATAGAGGTAATAGACAAGGGCTTGCTTGATGAAATGGCCGGGTCATGCATGCGAGAGTAAGACAAGGAACAAAGAAGAGAAAAAGGGTAAGACTTCAACGGAAACGAGGCTGCATTGGTCGCGTGGCAGGAAGTATGACGCTGTCACATGGCCATTTCCGCGCGCAACTTTGCCAGCTCGGCTTCCTCGTCGTCTTCCTCTTGAGCCTTGGCGTGTTTGACTAAAGGCAAGTCGGTCAGTGAACGATATATGCGATATCTGTGTGTACGGCTCCCACTTACGATCTGTGTTCCCCACAGCTGGCAAACGGTCCAGTTGACTGCCCACCGGCACGGTCCCGGTATGAAGCATCTTTGCGTCCATAGCTTCCTGCTCCAGACCCTCCAATTCGGCATCGAGCTCTTCCTCGTCCGGCTGTTCGCCGATAGGGAAACTGGTAATGACGCTTCCGATCTCGGCGCTGAGCGCATGCTGGTCTTGGAGTTCCTCCCTGTGAGGTATCAGTACGGTTGTAATTGCTGCGAAATGATGAAACACAAGAGACAGGGCATGACAATATGATAGGCAAGGAATAAGTGATTCCACGTACATCGTCTTGTCTACATCCTCGAGCTTCATTCCACCATGAATCTGTTTCATAGCGGCGCCGGCCTGCTTCATAGCTGCCAAGGTCTCGTGGTTGATATTCGCGGCTTCAATGGAGTATATCTGCTGTTCGAGTTGCATTATCTGGGCTGTGGTCTGCTCGAGATTCTTCTCGTGGACCTTTTTCCGTCGGAGGGCATTTTTGGCGGCTATTCAAATCAACGGTAGAAGAACCGATAGTTAGCCACTATTCGCAACTCTCAAATAGACGCCCGGCAACAATCTGTAAGATTCGCAACCGTACCATTCTTATCTGTGTTAACGTTCTTCCGCGCCAGAGCCTCCTGTTCTGAGATTTGGGTTTCGAGATGCCTCTCGCGCTTTTGCAGCATATCCAGCTGCTCGCGCAGCTGTAGGATAGCGTTCTTGGGCGCATCCTTTCGCTTCTGAGCGGCGGCCCCGCCAAACCAAGACCACATGGTGATGTCGGTGTCTGTGTAACTGGAAACCGAAGGGAGTAAATAAGCAGGACAAGCCCCCGGTGGTCAGTGAATATGTCCAAAGGAGAACAGCGGCCAAAAATTCAAAGTGAGTGAGGGGAGAGGAGTAGATTGGTTGTTTTCCTTGCTGCAAGTCAGGTGGAGCGATAGGCTCCAGGCAAATTCAGTGAGCTGACAGGCGAAGGAAGAAAAGGGCGGAAAATAAGCTCCTCACGACCAGTGTGTTCGGAGCACACGACTCGCCGAGTGCTCTTCCAAGAATTATTTCTGGATGAATGCAAAGTGGAGGGGAGAGAGCCCGACTTTCCCCTCGCTGAGCCTATGACATACACGGTAAGGCTAGTCACGTGCGCCAACAAGATTGTTGTGCTTGTGACCTATTGAGCTGCCTCTCGTTCTTTTCTTTCAATCTTCACACTTTTACAATGTTATGCATCTTCTTCAATTAGCGCATAGATGAATGGGCCGCGCCCCTCAACTCGCGTGTTCCTCTCCGATCTCTCAACTCTACAGGCGGACTCGAAGATCCGCTTTCTTGGCTGGTGCGTCAGGCCCAGAGCAGAGAACAAAATAGTACAAAGTTGAGGCTTTCCAATACTAACAATGATCTACGTTGTTGTATACACATAGTGTGACACATTATACCATCACTACCGGTCATTTGATACTCGAACACAACTTCCCCCGCAGCAAGATAGCTCCACCCTCTGTATCTGTTGATATCAATGCCCTTCTTGAGGATCTGATCGCCGAAGAGCTGCGCGTAGGAACGTGGCTGAATGTTGTGGGCTATGTCAGAGAGTCGGAGCCAGTACTGCCGCCATCTTTACTCTCTTCGACTCCCGATTACGCGAATCGGCCGAATCAGAGGCTTTCCGGGGTGCGCGCTCGTCCGGTGTACATCGAAGCAATTATGGTCTTTTCGGCGGGTGCTATTGCTATTGGGGAATATGAGCGAATCCTTTGCAATTCTCAGCATGTCGAACGGATGATGCACTTCACCCACTAAGAAATCATCCGTACGGGCTCAAAAGATTACATGGAACTCACAACCAATCCGGCCTTGATGGAGCGTCTTTGCATTAGGAACTTTGTTGTATACCAATTTTCAAGCACAACAGATACAAGCCGAGGGGTATCAAGACGTAGATCAGAACATCAGGCAAAGCATTCCCCCAAAGCAACCCTAGACCACCTTAGCCACCTTCTCCTCGTCCGACTGGTACGCCTGCTGAAGTTGAAGCTGCCTCCTAGCCCGCTTCCCTTCCAGCTGAATCTTCTCCTCCTGCATACGCAGAATGAGAGGACTCTTCATGCGAATCTTGTGACCATACTTGTAAAACACAAACGGAATCGGGACAATAACAATCTCCAACACTCCTAGCAGAGTGCCCGCCCAATTCGGCCCCAAGCTGGAATACATAGATGTGCCAGCAAGAGGCAGAACACCACCGAGGATACTCCGAATGACAGAGTTGCCCGCCAAAGCAGAAGCAGCATACATGCCGTAGCTGTGAGTCAGGTAGTTGGACGCATAGATGAAGACACCGGTGTTTCCCGCGCCGAACGGGATACCTGCGAGCAAGGGCACGATCCAGGGAATCGAGGCTGGGGAGCAGGTCCATGCAAACCAAAGCTCACCGATTGGGATCATCGCTGCGCAGATGCAGATGAACGAGACCATTGCTTCTGGGTGTGGTTTTCCGGTCTCGGGGTCTTTGGCGTGACGGTTGATTAGTCGCCGGATGAAGGGTTCGCAGGCGATGGTGAGGATAACACCGATCCCGATGCCTAGGAAGGCGAGCCCGGACACGCCCAGTTGCCATCCGCGGATGTCGCGAAAGACAATGGGGTAGGCTACGAAGCAGAGGTACAGGATGCCATAGATAATAGCGATGTAGATGTTCCAAAAGATGCTGACGAGATTAGTTTCACGTTGAAGAGTCGCCGTGGGAGGTATAAGTGCAAGAAACTTACCAGATTGGTTCGGTGACTGCCATCACAAACGGCCGGCTGAGGTTCAGCCCGAGGACCTCGGGAAGACTCGCCTTTTGGTCGTAGCGACTCCACCAGCGTGACTCGCCGGTCTCCTTGCGAAGTCTGGCCGCTTTCTTTTGGAGAAGGGTTGGTGCGTAGGTTTCTTTGAGAAGGATAGCAAAAAGCAAGGCAACAGCGGAGAGAATGAGGGCGATCCAGCACATCCAGCGCCAGCCAAGATATTGAGTGACGAAACCTCCAATAACAGGACCGATGACTTTATCCTGTTAAAAATTGCACTCGTTTTGTTCACCAAGGGGTAGAAGTGAAGAACAAACCTGGTCCATTGAGTGGCCCGATGCTCCAAACGGAGATTGCCAGAGCACGGTGCTCATCGTCCACCAAATCAGCCACCATACCGGGCGCAGTAGAGATCATGACGCTGCCAAAGAAAGCAGCGATAAAGCGAACGATGATCAGTGCCGTGATGGACTTTGCGAGCGCGCAGGGGATGATCAGGACGGTTAACACGGCTAGACAGATGACACAGACGGGTTTCCGTCCGTAGACCTCGCTCAACGGGGCCATGAACATTGACCCGATGGCAAGACCAAATAGATAGAAGGTTAAGCCAAGGGTGACGACAGTCTGAGTTTGGCCGAATTCATTGGCCATTAATGTAATTCCTGATGTATAAGAAGTTGAGTATAACACGCTTCCGAAGTTGTCAGTTATGGAACCTCGTGCTTTACAACTTTCCACATCAAAACTTACACGACGAGAGTATTCCATGATAGAAACAAGATGCCCATGGACTTATACTTGAGATTCCAGTTCTTGGGGTTCTCAGGGTCCCCATCGCCGTCCCAGTCGACCTCATAGTCGGGGTCGGCGGTGGCATTGGTTGCGATTGTCGTTACACGCTCCGACAGTGACATGTGCGAAGTTCGCGAGGCCTGCGCTATCAATGTCTTTCCTATCGCATCGCAATCGGTCTGTGAGTCTACCCTGGAAATGGGTTCGATAGAGTGTGTCTCCTGGGACCTCCTCGCGGTGTTTGGGGGGCACTTGTCATGGCCCTCCACATTGGAATGGTACGCTACCATGTCCGGAAACCTGGATAGATGGCCTTTTTTGCAGTAAACCAGTGCTCAGGCAGCTTATTTGAATGGCCAACGGGGATCGAATGAGCAAGTTACTCCGATATCTGGGGGTGTCGTGAAGAAAATCGGGGAAATGGAAGTGCAACATGAACGGATCCCTCTGTTCTCGGATTCAACCCCCGACCTAAGGCTACAGTAGCGTGTGTCGCACTCTATCTCTTTCTAGAGATTTGGTGGAGATGCAAAGGTAGACCGAAATCCCGACGCCGAGACTGCTTTGAAGTATCAACCACAAGCTCTCCAAACTGACACAGATTACTCGAGATAGAGATCGAGATCGGAGGCACTTATCATCGAAAAATTTACTTGGAACTCAGAATATTTCGAATGTGGGGCTAATAGTTGGCGATCAGCATATTCGACGAGAACGAGCTGGGGAGTGCAGGACGCCGAGATGATTAAGAGTAGAGATGGTTTCTTTTTTTACTCTGTGGAGAGTCCATACGTTAACAGCGTCTCAGATATTCCTTTTAGACTCCCTACACGTACTCTCCTACAGAAACCGTGGGTATATTCCCCATGGGCAAAGAGACCTGTCATGGCATGATATCTCTTGACAAAACGTATCCCCGATTTGTCTCCACACGGCGTCGCCCGAAGTGCGGGGGTTCTAGCCTGTGCCGGTTTGCCGTGCAATATCATACGGAGTATGGTACGGAATATTGTAGGGAGTATTATAGGAAGTAGAGCATTTCTCGTGAATTCCAGTACAGACAAGAAGCCTAACGTTGGAATAGAAAGTAGATGTCAATCTTAGGATGCAAGTGGGTTTGAAGAGGGAAGGAAGCCGGTGGACAAGCAGATTCGATGTCTCCCCTCCATACTTCTCATATTACAGAATATGTGTATAGTATCGTGTTCGTTCTATAACAGACCGAGGAAAGCCGATCCATACCAAGACACTCGATTATATAGCCGACAGCTACTACGTCCACATCCAACCTCAGATGGGTTTAGGGAAATAGTTCATCGTTCAAAGATCACAAACGGAGACGGATGAGTTTGTCAATTCCACCGCTTTGCTACAAACGAGGCTCGTTCTGATACAAAGGCAAGCCGGGAACATAGAAGTGAGCTAGGGTCTCACCCGCAATTGTTCTACTTGGATCTCAAACGGGCTGGTTTATACTGAGACCTTCAAACAGGCCTAGGGCAAATGGCAACCTTTTTGTACCCCCGTGCCGTGTGACCTTTCTTCCAAAAGCCTCGGTGGAACTGCAACCTTGCAAAAAAAGCATTTGGCAACTATCCAACGATCATGGTGTCGCTTATAGCAGCCGGTCTAATTGGACTGGGTGCTCTCTATATGTGGCGTGTTAACTCGGCCATGAAAGTAGTCCCCGAAGAGGCACAGAAACTATCACCTCATCGCTGGACAGTCGAAGAGATCAAAGCAGCTTATAAAAAGAACCTGGAAACGCCCATCGATGTGACCAAGAGCCTGCCCCCAAAACAATCTCGACGGTACGTGGTAGTAGGCGGAACCGGTACGTCGAGATACAAGTCGCTCATATCCATCCACTGACTCTCCAAACTATAGGTCTGGTTGGCGCTTGGATAGTCTCGCATCTCCTCACACGTGGCGAAGATCCCAAGGCCATTCGCATTTTAGACCTGATCTCCCCAGAGCAGGATATGCTCAAGAAAGGCGTGTGCTGGATCAAAACCAACATTGTCGACGAGTTCGCAGTAACAACAGCATTCGAGGCGCCATGGCCTGCCAATGTTACCAACCTCGCTCTGACAGTCTACCACACTGCAGCCATTATCCGACCCCAAGATCGACTCAAGAGCTTCCTACCGCTCAGCAGCAAAGTCAACATCGATGGAACACGGAAGGTGCTGAATGCCGCAAGACTCGCTGGCGCCACAGCATTTATCTGGACATCCTCGGGGTCCGTCGCACTGCACCAACCAACCTTCTGGATCGCGCCGTGGGCAACCCAGCCCAAGCGTGTAGTTCAAGTGATCAGCGACAGCACCAAGATGCCCGAATCCCACGACCAATTCTTCGGCAACTACGCCGTAACAAAAGCCGAAGCAGAGCGCCTCGTCCGTGCAGCAGATAACCCAGCAACAAATTTCCGCACTGGCTGCATCCGCCCTACAAACAGCGTCTATGGCACTGGCGGCCAAGACAACAACGTTATCACGGGCCTTTACCTCCGCAACGGAGGCAGTCCGACCTGGGCCCGCCCGATGCTGCAAAGTTTTGTGCACGCGGAAAACGTCTCGATCGCACACCTTTTGTACGAACAGCGTTTGATCCAACAGAGCGAGCCTGGTTCGCAGCTCCCGAATATAGGTGGCCAGGCGTTCACCGTTAGCGACCCCAACCCGGCGATTGCATTTGAGGATTTATACACCTTGCTCACGACATTGTCCAACACGCCGATTTCGTTTCCCGAGGTGCAGCCCTTGCCGTTGTTAGTGGTTGCGTATTTCGTTGAGATGTACACCTTCTTGCAGTACAGATATCTCTCGTGGTTTCTGCCGAGGTTGTCGGGGGATATTGGGCGGCTTCAGCCCTCGCTGTTCTCCGTTATCAACGTGCATGCGTTTGCTGATGATTCGCGCGCGAAGCTGGCGCCTGAGTTGGGTGGATTGGGATATAACCCGCCTCTGAACACTCTCGAGGGTCTGTGTCGGCGGCTTGTGGACTGGAATACGAAGGCCGAGAGGGAGGGTTGAGGTCATGGGGAAGAAGATACGGTTGGGCCCTGTGAAGGTTTCTGAAGATGGTGTCGAGGTGGCTGTGCCGAGGGTGTTGTGAGGATTCGAGTTGGTCCGATCTACTTCGGATATGAGTAGAAAAGCAGACACTGGGCTATGTTTTATTGAAGCATGATTTGGCATGCAATTCAATGCGCACTTCAAGTGGTATTAGGGGTTTAGTTCTAAAATGGAACACGTTGTGGCGTGAAATAGAATCATTTTGCGAAAAGAAGGGCCCTGGTGAATTTTACTCATTGAATTTTTCTGCAACTTCCAAGGTTGGAATAGCCGGAGCCGACCAGCAGTACCCGGCCATATCAAGGTCTCATTCCTCCTCAATCTTCCTTTAAACAAAAAGGCCTTGGATAAAGTTGGTCTGGAGATTGATAAGCCCCCATAGATAGTCGTGACTCGAGATCGATGGTTGCACTGACCTCGGGACAGTTTGCCGAAGCACACCGAGATGTCATCGTTGATAAGCTGTTCGGGCGAGCATAAGTCCTCGGTGCAAAAGCAAGAGCGACACAAGTAGGCCACTTCCCAAAGTGTCCACAGACCAAGGAACAAGGGCATTGTAACTCTCAAGTCGCACACATAGCAATGCACCATGCAAGCGTTCCACCAAGCAGACTGTGCGACCAAGAACATGAATCCCTCAGCCAGCAGAGGGTCGCTAGGATGACAGCCTTTCATTTCTCAGAAAGACAGTACACAAACAAGACGAAAGTCTCCCTTAGCGAGCCTGCTGCTGGGCCATTTGACGCATATAGTCGAGACGCTGTATGCGTAGACGCTCGGATGCCACCTCAACATCAAGAATCGCCCCTAGACGATCCTTCCACGTCTCCTCGAGACCGACTAGCTCGCCCTGGCTCGCTTCCTGTACAATTTTTCTCTGTTTGTTCACCTCTTCAGAAGCCTCCTTCATATCTGCCAACTCCTTCTCAAGGGAACCGAGTATCTGCTCAAGCTGTGAATTGCCGATCAGCCAAGCGTTCTTGCCATGCTCTTCCAGCAGAGCCAAGTTCTCGTAGCGCTTTGACAGGTGTGAGCTTGACGCATAAGCCTTCTGCAAAGTCTGGCGCCAAGCGTCTAAGTCGGGCGTTTCGGTGTCTGATGCGCGAGTTGGGGCCTCTGGTGCTTCGTAACGGGATAGGTCAATACCGCCGGTGAGAGGCGCGCCTTGCGCTTTGCGCGAGAGTTCTTGTTGCATGAATTGAGAGAATTTGGGCTCTGGTGCTTCTGGAATCCAAGGGTGCATTGTGGATGTGTGCTCCGGGGATAGCTCTGCATTGATGAGTTGCTGCGCTCGCGCTTGCGCGGACGCAGTGGGCGCCGCATCGATATCTTCAAGAGTCAGTGATTGGGCTCTAAAAGTACGTCCCTTGACCACTCTGGGTACATACATGGCAGCGAGTCATGGGATTCATTGATTAACGGCATTTTGAAGTGATGTGCTTGTATAGATGTCAAGACCAAGAACAGTACTCCGTAGATTAATCTGAGAACCATTGCTACATGAAGGCGGTGATGAAGGCGGCGAGGTGAGGGCAGCTGACCTAGCCCATATCAACCACGTGACCTCCGCCTTTTTTTAAATGTGTACGAACTGTGGGCTTAGTTTGTAAGTTAATCACCATATCCAAAGTGGATGCATTCATGGCTGCATTCGAGCCATGGGACATATTTTATACATTACTGTAGCAAGATCCAGGGCTTGGGAGTTCGGGGAAATACGCGGGCAGTTACCACGACCCTCTAGCATGCTCTCCCGACTGTATAACGACGATTCTATCCAGTTTGGGTTGTTTTTACGCGAGGTACCTGAGTGCTAACTCGTGTTCTCAGCTCATCGACTAGCTTAAAGTCGATGTAACTCAGCCTTCACATGTGCAGCGGGCGCACGAACACATCTCATTCCCTGTGCGGAGGGAGTCCAGCGAAAGTCTATTCCCTTTTGGTCTGCGGGATTCAATGGATGACGACCCCAACCCGTTGTACATCGCTGAGATGAATGTCACCTACCGAGTACTTCAAGTACACTAATGTTCGGCTTCTTTCCTAAGCTTGGTGGTACTTGGGCATTGATCATCTTCACTTGCAGGTAGCTCGTTTGTCTTCCCATCGTGTCCCTCACTAAGTGCACTTATATAAGAACCCGTATCTCGCGGGAGGATACCGATTTTTCAAGGGATATATTTACTCATAGCATCCTTTCTGCAGATATCCTAACTCGATATTACTTGGTATACATTGGCAAATTCTTCCAATGATGGCCAACTTTCGCAAGGGCGTTACCTTTGCTGGGATGACTCTTACAGTGTTAGTGTTTTTGCAGCTGATTGCAATCTTCAAATTTGATAGCCAGTCACAGTCGCCTTTGCCTAGCTTTATTTCAAACTTCAATCAGTGGAAAAGCCGAGCGAACGTGGCTGCAGCCGATGGTGTCTTTTTGGTTGGAGCGGGTAAGGCAGACATAACTGGGTATGCTTATATTTGAATGTTGACATGTCAATGTACTAAATTGACTGATCTGATCACTAGGCCGGTTGTGGAGCTTGCTCTCGCTGGCTACGCCAGTTTGGACCAACTAGGCACTGGTCTCAAGCAGAGGCTGTATTCTCGCGCCTTCATCTTCGCAAACCCAAACAAGCCCGATGACACTTTTGTGTACCTGGTCCTCGATACACTTGCGGGTGACACGGCCGTGCGACATGGTGTCCTGGAGGGTCTCAATGCGCTCGGTGGGAAGTATGCCCGGTACGGTGAACGCAATGTCGCAATGACGGGGACACATTCCCACTCCGGGCCTGGAGCGTGGATGAACTACTTGCTGCCTCAGATCCCGGCATTGGGGTTCAACAAGCAAAGCTATCAAGCCATTGTCGACGGCACTGTTCTATCAATAATCCGCGCTCATGAGAACTTAGCGCCGGGTCGGCTCTCTTTTGGATCCATCGACTTGCCCGAAACAAATGTAAACCGCAGTCCCTTTTCATACGAGCATAATCCCGAGGAAGAACGGGCACGGTATTCTGCTAATGTTGATAAATCGCTCTCGCTCATTCGGTTTGATCGCGAATTCGACAACAAGACAGCGGCTGTCCTAACATGGTTCCCTGTTCATGGCACGTCTATGTACAACAATAACACTCTGGTCAGTGGTGATAACAAAGGTGTTGCGGCTTACCTCTTCGAGCGCAGCGTCGATGGCGATGCAAGCTTTACTGATGATGCCGTAATTGGATTCTCTCAAGCGAATGTCGGGGACACATCCCCGAATGTTCTGGGGACTTGGTGCGAAGATGGCTCTGGAAAGATGTGTCGATATGAAGATAGCACTTGCGGTGGCAGAAACGAAGACTGCCATGGTCGAGGTCCTTTCTTCCGTGAGAACGACAACGGAGCGAAGAGCTGCTTCGAGATTGGGCGCCGCCAGTACTCAGCAGCAAAGAAGCTATACGAAAAGATGGACACCACCGCTCTCAAAATCACTGGTTCCGCGGTGAAGTCTTTCCATGTGTACAAAGACATGAATGGCTACACTTTCCTCTCGCCGTTCAACTCTAGCATGTTGACGACTTGTCCCGCGGCTCTGGGGTACTCATTTGCAGCCGGAACTACAGACGGACCCGGTGCCTTTGACTTTACCCAAAATGTTACTGGTCCTGCCGAACGCAATCCCCTGTGGCAAGTTGCGCGTGCAGTCATCCACCAGCCCAGCCAAACACAGCAGCAGTGTCAAAGCCCCAAGGATGTGCTATTGGATATCGGCACTCTTACTGAACCGTATCCATGGGCCGCGGATATTGTTGACATCCAGGTCTTGCGAGTGGGTCAGCTGTTTCTTGTTATCTCCACTAGCGAAGCTACTACGATGTCTGGGCGACGCTGGAAGGAGGCCATTGCGAAAGGAGCAAATCAACACCTTTCAGTTTACGAACCTCTAGTGGTACTAGGAGCCCCATCAAACAGCTATGCTCACTACGTTGCAACAGAGGAAGAGTACGACGCCCAGCGCTACGAGGGCGCGTCTACACTTTACGGCCCCAACACACTGGCAGCCTATGTCAATCTGACCCTCACTTACCTGCCATATTTGGGAAGCTCCTCAGACGTTGCCAAACTTCCAGTTATTCAACCTGGGCCCACGCCACCAATCAATACCAACCGTTCATTGAGCTTCATCACGGGAGTGGTGTATGACGGAGCGCCCATTGGCAGGCATTTCGGAAATGTGACATCAAACCCAGGGAGTGGACCCTATGGCCCCGGAGATATTGTCAAGACGGTCTTTGTAGGTGCCAATCCCCGGAATAATCTGCACCTCGAATCAACTTACGCTGCTGTTGAAAGAAAAAGCGAGTCTGGCGCATGGGAGATCGTCCGCAATGACCGCGACTGGAATTTGGTCTTCACGTGGAAGCGAACCAATGAGATCCTTGGCCATAGTGAGGTGACAATTCAATGGGAGATTGAGGATGAGTATTATAGTGTCGATACTACGTCGCCTCTGCAGGCTGGGACCTATCGGATGCATTATTATGGAGACTCAAAGAATCCTCTTGGCGAAATCTCGCCGTTTGAGGGCATTAGTGGGATTTTCACAGTGAAAACTTCCTAATCTGACTCATTTATAACATAGTGGTATGTGGAGTGGTGGCAGGTTGAATGAATGATGTCAAATAATTTCATTATCCGAAGTGAATGAAGCAAGTGTACGACCCCCAGAGTAATCAGGTCACAGAAATTATATCCTCACTTACGCGCCCGCACATGTAGCAAATGAACTAGCCAGGCACTCTTGGTCTACAAATATACTCAGTCCATCTGTCAACATGAAATTCTCAACACAATAGTACAGTGGTCCTGCGCCTGCAGCTGGCCAATCACCACACGCTATAGACCAAGGCTGGGCGCCTACTGCAACATCTCTTTGTCGTGCGATCTATTTCTAGAAAATTTCGTCCCACAAAGAGCCCCTTGCAATGGCGGTTCCCTCTGAACTGAAGTATTTCTGGCTTCTTCATGGAAAAACCATGGTTTGAACAATGGGCGACTGGCAGGAAGCCCTAAGCCCACACATCGACCCCTTATGAAGCGCAGGAATCTCGATGGCGAGGGATGTGAAAGACAAATCTCCTTCCTGTTAAAGTCTCAGGTTGCTTCATCTTGCTCCGTTCTTTTGTTTCTCTTCGTTTCTATGGTCCCTAGTGATCCGGCCATTCTTTCATTTGCAAGCCATCAAGACGTCTCTCAACCCTATCCATTCACCACTGACCTACATGATATTTCTTTCGCCATGCTTTTTCTAAACATTTGATTGTGATCATCTTATACATATGCTCTTATGCATTTTTGACTGAGCATCAAATTTTTTCTCTGTCCCACTTTATCCAAGTCGTGTCTCGACAATCGTTTCCAACACTCTCGTTTCTAAATCAGGATGCTTCGCTTTCAGTTCTTTTTGTTCCTTCTTCTACCCTGGATGGCTTCGGCTGGTCCGATATTTCGCTGGCAGTCCCGGTCATTGAAGGCACCTAGGCCGACTTTTTCCCCCCTGTTGCCTAATATTGAACGGCGTGAACCTGGCGGGATCACCGAAATCACGCCTATGGCGGGACCTACCCAGATGCAGTTTACGTACGAGGATCCAATTGTATCTAACCCTCTTCTATACCGTGCTGCCAACCACTAAGCTAACCATTAATCAAAAGCCAACTACAACTCCAGAGCCAACTACCACCTCTCATGCATCCACTACGACTCGGCGATTCACATCATCATACACAGCCCCGGGAATGCTAAGTTCAATACCCACAACTAGTTTAAAGACTGTCAGCATTCCAGGCTCAACATCTTTCCTCGATTCCCTGGTGATACCGAGCCCAGCCCGATCTTCATCGGCTGCGCTTCTAGGTGGAGTGACCAGCATCAAAGCTACCACTGTGACTCCACCAATCCCGACCTCTACGACCATACAGTCAGCAACAGTGTCCAGCAGCAGCCCAGCTGTTGGAGCTATTGCGCCCCCAGGAGGAGCAGGCAGCAACGGTTCTTCTACATTTACACCGGTGATCCCAACCTCTAATCCCATCCAGCCAGCGAAGACTACGCCGACACAATCTACATTACTATGGTCTCCCACATCAGGATCCAAACCAGCGGTGACCGTAACCGAGCCTGTGATTGTTTATGTGACCAAAGGAGCATCGACTCCCTTCTCGACATGCGTTATCCGTCATGCACCCAGCGGCGACAACTCATCAGTGTCATCGGCATATCCAACGGTAAAACCGTCTGTTGAGCCGATAACTACATCTTTGAACTTTGTGACGATCCATTCCACTGCAACGTCGGCCATTCGTGTGCCTGTTTACCCAACATTATCATTACCTGCGTCTTCGTCTTCGGTGTTTGCGTCCTCAACTGTGAGCGCCCCGAGTGTGAGTGCAGCACCTACAGTGTCCGAAAATGCCAGTGTAATTTCAGTTGTTCTTATGACCGCCAGCCCAGCAACACCATCGCTTCCTTCTTCGTCTTGGTTGTTGTCATCCCCGAATGAGGCTGCTCCTGTGGTGACAGCTCACCTGACTTCCACGATTGTGGTTCCTCTGACAGTTTTCCCGACTACATCGTTGCCTTCTTCTGTGTCTTCATTTTTGACGTCCTCAAGTGAGATTGCTTCTTTAGCGACATTCCGTCTCACTTCCACTAGTGTCGTTACAATAACTGTTTACTCGACAACATCTCCATCTGATCCATTGCTGCAATCCTTTGGTGAGACTGCTCCACTTGAGACTTCTCCAGTCGTGACAGCCCACATCACCTCCCCGGAAATTGTTCAACTGACCTCGTATGGATCGACTGCCATACGAGCAACAGATTCCACATCTACCGTGGATGCCGATTTCGCCCCCACGACCTCTACGCCAGGTCAAGGCATACTTAGTGTGAATCCAGTTACGCCGTCTGGCTTTATCACGATCACTGAGACTCAGACGGAGACAACGACGGTAACAGATCGCATTACTGAGACTGTTACTGCTACTGTTACTCGGGATTAACTGCAAGATTGTGATGAAATTGATTCTGTTCATTTTTTTTTGCATGGGGGCTTTCGTGTGGTTGTTTCTTTCAAATTTCACTCTTTTCTCTGTTTTCCTGTCTACGTCAAACTGTTCCTTTCTTATAATAACAAGTTCATACAAAAAGGCTATGTTTAGGCTAAGCCACAAAAAAATCACATTTGAGTCCCCCTGGTCCCTTCGCGATAAACGTACATAATGTACCTGTATACCTCATATTTGCTGTTTCTCCCCCCTTGATGTATCCCTTCGAGTCTGAGATGAGCTTTTCCCACTAAACACCATAACCACCTGTATAACCTTAACTACCTCTCTACCTTGACTTCCACCTAACCCTCCCAACCCACATAGCCCAATCCCGCACATCTTCCCTCTCACAAATCCTCTCAACAGTAAACCACTCCCTAGCGAGCTCTTCATTACTCGCCATGCGATGCACGAAACTATGACAAGCGCGACAAAGCCACGCCACGCTATTCAACATCCACTCATCATGCCACCCCTTCTTAACAACCTTCGCATGTACCCCGCGTGGAATCAGATGGTGATACGATAACGGGATCCAGTCGCGCTCGCATATCTCGCACGCGTCCGCACGCGTGCTCGCCCACGCCGGCGGACCAGTCGTCACGCTTGAGGTGTATTCTGCCAATACCGGCGCGAGGAAGTCTAGTAATTCAACTGTGTCGGGGATTATGCCATAGACTAGTAGCGAGTCGGTTACGCTAACTGGTATTGGTGAGAATAGGGTTTCAAGCGTGGCGCGTGGGAGAGGAGTATCGGTGTCTGGGGGTATGTAGAGGGTTGATAGGGTTGGGTCGTGTTGGATGGCCGCGTAGCTTAGGGTTTGGAGAAGGATTGGAAATGTGGCAAAGGTTTCCGAGGCTATGAACTGGGGTTATTAGCTTTGGGGCTTGGTAGTTGTTGGCTGTGTGTTGGTTTTGCTGAGCCCAAGGGCTGATTGCCTTGCGCTGGGGTAGACTGGGTGCATGTACATCAACAAACTCGGCGAGCTCTTCCGGGTCTGCTCTCCCGGTTGAGACTGTTGTCGCTGTTCTTACGTCTTTGCGCTCGGTCCGCTTGCCCTTTGGCTTCCGTCGCGTTGGCTTTGGTTTTTCCTCTGAGCGGGCCACGATGGCATTAGACAGACATTCGCGGAATACTGCATAGTTCTCATTGGAATTCATTGAGACTTGATTAGGGGAGAGAAGCCTTGACCGTAAGCTTGGCCCGGAGAGATGTTTTGCCCCACGGGAGATTGACATCATTCTACTACATTCTTCAAGGCTTCAAACTTTTTTTTGCTTTTTGCCATCGGCAATTCTGAACCATCATTACAGCTAAGACCGTTGTCGCTTTTGACCTATGAGGCACTTTGCTCTCAACTGAATCAATGGCCAAGGTGTAGTTGATCTCCGCGCTCTGGAGGCGGTGTCAGTTGGAGTACACATGGAGATTGAACAGCATGGGCAAGCAACGCTTCGAAGCTTGGCGCTCAGATTATTGACTATCAAAAGGCCGACATCTCAGCCATCACACGCAACTCCCTGCTGCACGCGCTGGTCGACAACAACGATCAGCTGAGCGACGACAACATCGAACACCTGATGCAAGCTTGACAGTCTCTACACGTTTTCTGATGTGAATCCAACTTTGACCCATAGAGCTGCCGACTCATTCATCTAAGCTGTGGCATTCTCCAACGGCATCCAACTCGGCATCGCTGTCCAAGGACCTTTCGCCATACGCGAGTGTCATTCCAAGATATCGTCACCGTGGACGAAGTCCAACAACATCAGCCACTAAAAGGCGAGCTACAAGCACCTAGCGGAACAGACAGGCCAAGACCCATCGCAGATGAGCAAACATGCTGATTAGCAGCAACCCCTTCGGTGTGATCAGGGCGCGCTACACGAATGCAATCTACATGGGTTGATCGTGTTGGTGCGGGATAAAGGATGCCGCGGCTCCAGATCTACAGCCAACGGTCATTTTTAAACAGTCTGGAGCGTCATGTGCACGAGATTCATTGCCATCGGCTTTGAGTCTAGACGTCACAACATTGAACTTCGAACAAAGGTTCAAACATCAAAAGAGGCTTGAAAAGAAGGAATGTACAGCTGAATATATTTCCGAACGCTCCACACTTTAGTAGAAGAGTTTGGGGTAAGCCAGCAGATTTGGTCTTTCCTCCCATTTCCCCTCCAGAACAGTGATTGTAACAAAAGTTCAGAGTGAATAGGGAGGAATTCAGTTTATGTGAAGAAGAAAAGGAAGAGGGCCCACGAGGAAAAAAATTCTCAGTAAAATAGCACCAGCTTAGTCATCTGAGCTGATATCCACGGATCGCGTGATGTCTTATCGATAAGCTGTGGCCTGCTTTCGAACTTCGTCAGCAGGGATTCTTTGAACCTGTGAACCTGCAAGTCATGTCGCAACTCCTGGATCTTAGTCGAGCTGCCTGGCTGTATCCTCTTCGGGTATGTTATTTGGGGGAGGGGAGGGGAGGGGGGTTCCTAAGCTCCATCACTAAACTTAGCAGGGAATCTACTATTTTGCGTCGAATCGGTTCCTATGGCCTCTCTTCAAGGCTCGCCTTCTTCCCATCCTCCTCCTCTCATCCTTCATATACTTCATCCTCTTCTTCTTCACCTATCTACCTCAGGTTGCTTTTCTTGCCATATTTCAGGGCAACTCAGCATGGGTGAGTGGCGCATTCCTGGTGCTTGGTGAAGGAGCTGCGATTGTTGCCGCCCTCTTCGAGGCATTCTTTGTCGATGAGACTCTAGTGGATATCTTCGACGCAGTATTGGTGAATGAGGGCCAAGAGGAGCTTGTCACCATCTCGCGGGTTATCTATCCCGAGCCCGACAACCCGGCCAAGCGATTGGGCACGCCGACCACCAGTGCCGTATATTCTCCATTTTCGTTGCAGCAGATCGTTGAATTCATCATTCTGCTTCCGCTTATCTTCATTCCGGTGGCCGGTACTCCTATGTTTTTAGTTTTGACTGGCTACCGTGCCGGTCCCTTGCACCACTGGCGTTACTTTCACCTGCTGGATATGTCCAAGCAGCAAAGAAAGGAAAGTATCAGTCGTCGTCAGCTGCAGTACACTACGTAAGTCCTGTTCCTTTTCTCTGTCAATGTGAGACCTCACACACTCTAGGTTTGGGACGGTGGCCCTGATCCTTCAAATGATACCTCCTTTCTCTATGCTATTTTTGATGACCACAGCTGCTGGGTCGGCACTTTGGGTGACCGACATCGAACGCAAGCGACGAGCTATTAACCGGCCACCCAGCCGACTTGGTGAGCATTACCGTGACGATGTTATGCCATGACGTGTGAACGATACATCTCTTTCGGGTGACCGAGGTTACTGCGAAATGCACCTAACTTGCCATTTCTGGTTCCTGATTCAACCTTTCCGTATCATTAGGGAGGAGTCGGTCACGGATCAATATTCTTGATAACACCCATCGTAATTCCTTCTGCCTGGTTAATCTTGTAGGAACAAGGTCTGGAGTTTGGTTGGATTGCGAGCAACACGTGACTTCACCTGAATGTGGCCCCTAGAGGAAAGAGCCTGATAAAGATACCGCTGCAGCGAGAATTCAATGTCTAAATAGTTCCGATACATGCTTTGATCTTTTGGTCTAGTAGCTAAATGGTCTTTGGTAATTTCTCAGGAGCTAGCGGTCTGAGTTGAGCACAGAATTACACGAGACGTGTTTTCATTTAAAAAAATTTTTTTTTTGAGAACGAATTCATAATGTATGCCTTGAAATGATCCCTTGAGAGCAAATCATCGAGAAGATCTTTTGTTTTTTTTATGGTCGCATCAGGGTTAAAGTACCCCAGATTTCCCTGCAGGTTTGACCCGCTTAGCAATCCGGAAGTGTGACCCCCCTCCATCACTTCCCCGAGATTTCCAGAGCTTCAGCTATAAAAGTTCCTTCTGGCTTTGGGGACTCAGATTTCCGCATTCTTCTATATGAATAAACCTGGAGTTTGGATGTGCTGATAGTCTTGGGCCGATTAAACATGATTTGACGGTTCGAGGTGTGGTCATCTCGGCAATTTGCTCATCGATGGACCCGAAAACTAGGCTGCGCAAGGCCTGCGATGCCTGTAGTATTCGAAAAGTGAAGGTATCGTTCCTTTATCAAAATGTGCAGGAAAATACTGATTTCCATGCAAGTGTGATACTGGTGGGCCTCCTTGTCGGTCGTGCGCTAGCTTGGATATTCCCTGCACCTATGAAAGACCAAGCAGGCGCCGCGGGCCTCCCAACCGCCATGCAGAGGCGTTCAAGAAACAAAAGCGGGAGCCTGAAGATGCAGCGTCGCTTAGCCCGGCAGACTATCCATCGGCGACGACTCCCCTAGCAATGCCTTTCACCAACCCTCAATCTGCATTGTTCCCTCTTTCGGTGGAATCGATATGTTCTTTGCACACGGTGCAAATGTTGCTCGATGACTTTTTTACGTACATCCATCCTTTGGTCCCAATTCCACACGAGCCTTCTTTTCGAGCAGCCTTTGAACGCCGAGAAGATGTAACCAACCATACATTTTTGGCACTTCTGGCCTCAATGGTTGGACTGCTAGTGGCTTCCTTTCCTCGACGACCTAAACTCAGACTCAACACGGAAGCCGAACGCACTGCTTTCCCCAATTCCACAGCTCTAGTAAAACGATGCCTTGACGTTGCCATCCAAGCCCGCGGGACCGGGTACCTTGATCGCAACGCCACGGTCTACGATGCAGCGATCAGCTATTTTCTCGGTGTATGTGCCGGATATATTTACAACATGCGTCGATGCCGGGTGTACCTGTCGGAATGCCGGGTCATGCTCCAAGTGTACGATTTATGCCGATCTCCGACCACCACCAACCGCCCATCCTCGACATCAGGGCCCCTCAATCCAAGATCATCGGCCTCAGCAATGGTCCACAATCAATCAGCACAAACTTTCACGGAAAGCCAGGGGATCGACCTCATCACGCAAGAGCTCGGCCGGCGTCTGTTCTATGTCACCTTTGTTGGATATCAGACATTACTCCAGATGGGCTCTTCGGATATCAAGGTTCATGTTCCCCCAGAGACACCAACGGACCGTTACCCACCACTCCCACTGGAGATCGACGATGAATTTTTATTCTCAACATATGTTGAGCCGCAGCCATCCGACCGAGTTTCACAGCTAGTCGGATTCAACGCAAATGTCCGCGTCTACAGCTCGTATACCACCCTGCTAGCTTGGGAAATAGCGTTCGGCAGCGGTCAAATCTTTGATTGGGAGCACCAGCGCCACTGCATTTGGGACTGTCTGAAGCAAGCAAAATCTGCACTTATCGATGTTCCTTCTGAATTGTCTCTCCACAATCCTAAACACATGTCTCACATATCCCCGGCGGGTTTGGCAGGTCTTGGCGGAGATGATACAATTTTCAGCTACTCTAATGATCATATCCACCAAGAACGACGTGCCATACAGTATGAAATCCAGAAAGCCAATATCTACGCAAGCCAGCTATGCACCAGGTCCTATCTAGTCGAGAAGTACTGGAGCCTTTTCGAGACATTTTCAAAGTATGGAAAGTCCCCTAAATTTTCGACCCTGGGCAGCACCACACCACATATCAAGATTGAAGGAAGACTTCATCCGGTACCGAGTGCGAGTGCCACTGCCACTGGTACAGCCCCGTCGGAAATCAACACCCAAGCTCATCCCCATGCACAAACCGACTACATTTGCCGCATGATGGCCGAAGAGCGCAAACTGGTCATTAAAGATCTCTTCGTACTATTACGAACAGTGAACGAAGTGAACATGGAGCCAAACGGTGCAAGCATTGTACGCTCCCCTTGCTCAAAACACCACTTTCTCTCACGTATGAAACTGACAAAAGGTCCTTGTTTACAGACCAACAAAATCCGCCAAGTGGCATCCACCCTCCTCGGCCTCTCCCACCGAACGAATCAATCCTGCACCGAAATCCCAAACCTCAAGACCGCTGCTGCACCATCACCAACGACCGCACCGCCAGGCCTCCACATTCTCACCGCCGCAGAAGCGGAATCCTACCTACACGCATTCATCGAGACGCTTGTCCGACTGGAATGCCATTCCTTCGTGGGTGAGGCAGCCAGTCCTGCCGACGGCGTTAGTCCGCAAATGAACGGCCGCGCTATGAGCTATTTGAGTGATTACGAGCGCGACCAAGAAGAATTGAGCCAGTGGGCAAGTTTAAAGGAGTATCAGCAGAAGTTTGCGGAAGCTGGCGGTGTTTTGCATCAGTTGTAGCGTTTCCAACTTCTTCCTGATGTTGTTCTTTTCCCCTCGACATTCGCGTGCATTACTTTTTGGGGTGGGATGGTCAAATGCTCTGTAGTGCTGGATCACAAATGGATATTGTATATTTCGTTATTCAAACATGAATACATCAAAGACCTGATCTCTGATCCCATTTAATTACAACGTGTCTCATCACATCGAGCCAGCTGGGTGTTGAGAATTCGACTTCGGCAGTCTCCCAGGAGTCCAACGAAGCGGCGACTATGGTCTTAGCATGTTCCAATTCGTTCCAATTATTCTTGCTGGGTAAAAAGGACACGAATGACATGACAATGTGGCCATTCGGCCATCACATTTGAACATTTACACATGTGCTGCAACAGCAGCATCCTCTCTAATTACAAAGATTGTATGCTTTTTTCTTCCGGTCCCTAGTAGATAGGGATGCAACAACACCCAGACCCTGAATGCACGTCAACCATGTCGAGAGAAAAAGGAAGATATAATACATAATTTGAATGAAGATTATGAGGGGAATGGAGAGTGTGAGATGACTCAAACAAAATAAAAAAAAACACAAGCGGCCATGGCGACCGCACAGATTTTGAGATCACGAAGCGAGTATCTCACAGATAGCGCTTCTCGGAGATTTCTTCGTAGCATTGTACATGGTCACCGGGTACGAAATCTGTCCAGTTTTCGAAAGCGATTCCGCATTCTGTGTCCTTGCGCATTTCGGTGACGTCTTTCTTGACGTTTTTAAGGGAAACCATTGTGCCTATTGTGGAAAGTTAGTCTGGTCCAAACAATTCGTGTTGAGCTGCTTGTGATATGCTTACCATCATAGACTGTCTCCTCCCCGCGAAGCACCCTGACCTTGCGAGTTTTGTTGATGATACCGTTACGCACACGACTTCCAGCAATGGCCGTCTTTTCACGTCCCTTGACAGTGATCTCGAACACCTGCTGGATCTCGGCCTCTCCAGTCACACGCATAGTGACCGTCGGCGGCAGTTTTTCACTGAGAATGGCCTTGATGTCATCAATCAGTTTGTAAATGATGTTGTGATCCAGAATCTCAACGCCCTCAGTCTCTGAAATGCGCATTATATTAGGGTCGATGGCCTGGTTGAATGAGATAATCTTGCCCTTGGCACTGCCAGCATGTTCGATATCGAATTCACTGACAGGGCCAACACCAGAACGGATGATGTTGGCAAAGACTTCGTTGGTACCGATTGCTGCAACGGAGTTCAACACCGCTTCCACCGAACCGTCCACATCGCCCTTCAGGATGAAATTGACTGACTTTGGGCCGGTTGGTTCAACTTCCTTTGTTGTCTCTTCCTCTTCTTTCTCGCGCCTGCGCTTCTCGAGAAGTTCACGGCGAGCCTCATTGATGGCAACCATATCGACACCCATCTTCTGGGTATCAGACTTCTCTAAGCGGTAATCCACAACGTCCTTGGCTTTCTGCTCAGTTGGTGCCTGTAAGAGCTCGGTGCCAGCACCTGGCTGCTCTCTCCAACCATCGATCTCGACGGGCATTCCAGGCGTGGCTTCACTGATGGTCACACCGGCTTCATTCCGGAGAGTGCGGACACGAGCCCACGCGGTACCGGCAACGACGATATCGCCTGATCGCAGGGTTCCACGTCGAATCAGAACGGATGCTACGCGACCATAACTCTTTGTAGAGGCCTCGATGACCCAGCCTTCGACGTTACAGGTGGTTGCTGCGCGATGGTCGAGCATTTCCGAGAGCGCGACGATTGCTTCTTCCAATTCAACCATTCCTTGTCCGGTCTTGCCGCTGACACCGATGGCCTGAACGTCACCTCCGTAGTCCTCCACATGGATACCATGAACAGAAAGGTCACCCTTCACTCGATCAGGGTTGTTGCCCTCCTTGTCAATTTTGCTGATGGCGACAATGACGGGAACTTTGGCTTGGGTGGCGTGCTTGATCGCCTCGATGGTTTGCGGCTTGACACTGTCATCCGCGGCAACCACAAGCACCACAATATCGGTCACGTCGGCACCTCGGCGACGCATTTCCAAGAACGCAGAATGACCGGGAGTATCAAGGAATGTAATAGCTTTTCCAGAAGGCATCATGACGGAGAATGCACCAATGTGCTGGGTGATACCACCATGTTCAGAAGCTGCCACCGATGAATTACGCAGCCAATCTAAGATCGTGGTTTTGCCATGATCAACGTGACCCATAATAGTGACCACAGGTGGCCGAGATGGCAGATCAGATGTGTCCTCTAGTTCAGGGGCGGCGTATAGATCTTCCTTGCCACTGTCGAAAATGGCCTCATAGTTGAATTCGGCTGCCACCAATCCGGCAGTTTCTGCATCGAGAATATCCCTGTACGTGATTTCCTCGAAGCCCATCTCCTCCATTCGCTGCACAAATTGCGCCGGTCGGACGCCAATAACATCGGCCAAGTTGCTAATACTGATGAATTCAGGCAGGTAGAGAGGAGCTGGTGCTGCCAGCGCGGCGGCCTTCTTTGCAGCCCTTTGGGCGTCCTTTTCTTTCTGCTGGCGTCTCCGCTCTATGCGGAGACGCTCGCGATCTTCGGGGTCAAAGTCGGCCCCATCAGACTCGGTCTCACGTCCTTTGCGTCCATCACGGCGCTTCATAAGCATAGGCTTCGGTGGCGGCTGTTCTTGTGCCTCTAGATTTTCTAGTTGCTCCAGTGCAGACATATCCCAAGACCATTGGTTCTTCTTGAAAGCCTCCTTTGTTCCGGGTCGGTCAGATTCCTCTGAATGGCGCTCTGTGGTTTCTTTTGTACTCGGCTGAGTGTCTTGTTCCAAATCAGACAAAATTGAATCCCCTAATTGCTGAAACTTTCTAGTGTGCCCAGAAGGGGATTGGAACTGTTTGAACTGTGAAGAACCGGGAGAATCGCTATACTCTCTAGTTATTCGGAACTTTGGCTGGGCGTCGCCAGGCCGAGAGGTTTTGCAGAATGGACACACTTGCTTCGTGGCGAAAACATGTTTCATACACTGAGGGCAGTTCCAGTCTTTGTGGGCCATTGGATGGTCCCTGGTCGCTCTGCTCAAAAGTTGGCCCTGGAATCTGTTTTGAGTCTTTTCAGGTGCGAATGGGTTTTCTTCTTCGAACGCCGTTTTCTTTCCTCGGTTGGACGGATTTCTCTCTTGATTCCGTGATGTTCCTTTCGGCCTCATGTAGCTACCTGAATTCTCTTCTTTGAACGGATTCTTCTCTTGAGTGGACGGGCTCCTCTCTTGACTCCGCGCAGTTCCCTTGGGCCATCTCATGTAGCTACCTGAGCTCTCTTCTTTAAATGGATTCTTCTCTTGAGTGGACGGATTTCTCCCTTGATTCCGTGGGGTTTCTCTTGGCCACCTCGGGTAGCCACCTGGCTTCTCTTCTTCAAACGGGTTCTTCTCCTGGATGGACGAGTTCCTCTGCTGGTTCCGTGGCGTTTCTCTTGATGCTCTGTAGGCATCTTGATTCTCCCGAGGGCCCACGCGCCGCACGTACGGTTTTCTCTGTTGGTTTGATTCCCCCAAGTTCCATTGCCGATTTGACAGTTCCCGCCTCCGTTGCAGTGGTTCAGGTGCTGACGGCGGCGGTTGACTATTGGTGATAAGGGTTTGGCGCATCGCTTGTTCTGCGAAAGTCAAGCCCGCCGATGGCGTGGATTGTTTAGGGCCCCATCGACTGCCAAACTTGGACTTCGCTGGCGCCGGATCTGAAGCAGTCCCATCATTATTTCCAGTCGACGGATCCGACGAGTTCCAACGCGTCGCGGACAACCGTAAGGTCCGTCGAACTGTGAGAGCTGTTAAAGTGGGTGTTCGGTGGGCTGAATTCGACCACTCAGCCCGACGCGATAGCTGTAGTTTGAGTTAGATACTGTCGCAACACTCCACAACTGCGAACTTACTCTGCAGACTGGCCGACGATGCATCATTCATTAGTTTATCCACATCTGGATCCGTCAACTTTTTTACATTTCCAGAAGTTCGAAAGGATGAGCTTATGTCACTGATTATGTCAGCCATGGGGATCAAAATGCTTAGATAAGGCGATCACCGGGAAGTCACGTGCCTCGGCATCCTCATCGAATCAGAGGGCAGATGGCGCCATGGCGATAAGCGGGCTGGATATAAAGTCTGGAGTCTCCAGATTGAGTCCCTGTCTCTACTTTTGGTCGTTGCAGTTGTGTTCTTTAAAAAATGGAGACTGAGGTAATCGACAGTCTGGACAAGGGCGGTGGTGCCCTCCGCACTATCAAAGATTTGGCCGCGGGCGCAGCGGGTGGAATGGCCCAGGTTCTCCTCGGTATGTGTGCACCCTTCTTGATTGGAATGAATTCCACGGGAAAGCCATGGGCATCGCGAGATGAGAATCTTTCCATAAGTGGTGGTTTCTTGGGGAAATACTTAAAAATACAAAACTAAAGCAATTGCTAACAAGAAACTAGGACAACCCTTTGGTATGTGATTTGCCTGAAGCATATCTCAGGAGGCATTGGTTAACAACTTGGCAGACATTGTCAAGGTGCGCTTGCAAACTACCACTCAGTACAAAAGTGCGCTAGATTGCGCAACCCAGATCTTCAAGAAGGAAGGTCCCACGGCCTTCTATAAGGGCACACTGACCCCGCTCATTGGCATCGGTGCTTGCGTGAGTTACCCCCGCGCCAAGGCCCACTATTGACAATTCTTCTAACAAACCAATCCAGGTGTCTGTCCAGTTTGGTGCATATCACGAAGCGCGTCGGCGATTGGAAGAGCTGAATAAGAAGAAATATGCCGACTCGGCCCTTTCTTACACCCAGTACTACATGGCTGGTTCATTCGCGGGTCTCACCAACTCCGTGCTATCAGGCCCAATTGAGCATGTGCGTATTCGCCTGCAGGCACAGCCGCACGGTGCCGGCCGTCTTTACTCAGGCCCTATCGACTGCGTGAACAAGCTGGCCGCACAGGGCGGTGCCCTCCGCGGTATCTACCGT